ACACAAATTCGACTACCGCAATCATTGACTTACAATTATATGGACGTCGGGTCCGCGCTAAAAAGTGTCCGAACTTATTGGGCGTTAAAATCGTATATAGAGCGTCATTCACGCTTTAGTCTTCGTTTGTTCGACTGACAGCGAAGCAAGCAAAATTAGACAGTACTGCGATGACATTACAATTTAAATTTAACGTTTTAGCTTTTTCATATTCCTTTACATGTCACTACGTTTAAATAGGTTGACTCGGGACATTTTTTTCGTGGTTTTTGTATTAGACCCGTCGTCCATTTATTTGTAAGTCAATGACCGCAATTGATAATAGCAATTTTTCACACATCACTCATTTGGTGCATTGCCGTAAGTGTAATTACGGCAAAATTTAATTGAGTATGTTAACACATCCATAATTCAGTGTGTTTACGTTTGAAGAAAAATCGGCAGTAATTATAAATTTATATATATTGTAAAAATACACAAAGTTTTATAAATACCAAAAAAAAAAAATCAATTCTACAATACAATTGCGTCAGGGTAGCACCAAATTAGTGATATATTTTTATCACTGAAATAGATTCCTACATCAACCGTACCACACTCTCAAAACTCTATTTTACTACTTCTTCCAATGAAAAAATTTGAAAAAAAACAATTAGATGACAAAATATAGGTCTATAAGGACAAATTTTAGGAAAGGGACATTGAAAATTGTGCCATTGTCAATAATGAATGAATATCTCGGTAAGCACAACACTACAATTGGACGTAGTTAAACAAAAAGGATCTAATGCGCATCTAGTCACTTTCGAGAAGTGTTTCTTGTAACTCCAGAGATATTTATTTACGTTTTTTTTTTTTTTTTACTGAGCTAAGATGTTCAACTTCAGGAACCGTTTGGTAATAACTCATTATCTGATAATTTTGTGTAAAATCCTTTTTGCTTAACTACGTCCAATTATAAAAAAGAAAAAAAAGCAAAGTCACAACGTATAATTCGGTCACGCAATAAATTCGTAAATTAGTTTTTTTTCATAATTCAATCATTAATCATAATTGCCTACACAATAATACAGCCTTATAAATTTAACATTTAACTGTGACCACTGAAAGGGTTCGAAGACAAAATATTACATACACGTAGGAGTCAAAGAAAAGGACTTTATGTCCGTGCAATAAGAGCGAAAAAAGTTGTCAACGGCGGAAATGTTACGAAAATTATATAGTCTTGTCATTTGCGGGGTTGTCAGTTTTCGTAATATTTTAAATAGTCATGTAGTTGATGTCGACAGTTTTATCGATAGATTATGAAAGAATGTAAGATTATGCCAATTGTGAATGTTTAGACGTTCTAATGATTACTAGTAACTATAGTCTGTTCCAATCCACTGTGCCAGATAAGTAAACAAACAGACCATTGACCCGATCATAGACAGTTTAGTGATGGCCAACTGTACTGCTAACTACAGATCGATTAATTAATTGAATGAATCGATTTGTTTAATTGAATCAGTTGAAACAACTGGGTTTTATGTAATAAAATGGGTTTTGCTATTTCGCTGCTGATTACAATAAAAAAATATGTAATTCATCATACATACAGAGATCATACATTTTGTCTTACATAACCAATAAAAGCAAATTTAAAAGTTCCGAAGTCTAATTTTAAATCCTCCTTCAATTCCTTACAATTAGATATTCGTTCGATTGTGATTAAATTCTCGATTCACTAATCGATTACAAAAACTTTCATTGAATGAACCGAATGAGTTTTTCCGCACAGCCCTATTCAACCATAGGCTATTCGCAAATCTATATTATTATTTAAAAAATAACCTCATTGTTACTTACTCCATTTATTGAGTGATAGCTTTAGAATTTTAACCAAACCAGTTTGTTTACTTTTCTGGCACAATGGATTGGTTTTTTTACACAATTTTTATTCATATACCTACATTTTAATAAGACACATTTGATTATCAGTATTGAATTACAATGAAAAGCTTTAAAATATATCTCTTTGTGTTTTCAATACACAGTTCTAAATATAATATGTACGCATGAATTTAAAAAAATTGACAATTCAAATGAACCTATGCATAGCAGTTGGACGAATAATGAGCCGACGATGATTCAAATGAAACGAGTTCGGGGATTTACTGCATAGGCATGACCAACACTCAGTCGATAGTCGATAGAATATTTATCGACAACAATCACAACACTTCTGCGCGATGAACTGTCATTCAATACGCCATCTTTAAAAAAGAAGAAAAGTAAAACCTATCACTGAATTCGACGTTAATTGTCCAATTTGTAAAAAAAATAACCAAGCGTGAAACCCATCGAGTATATAATTAGAAATACAGACGAAATGTCATGTAATTTGTTTAAAAACTATTCTGCCAAATCATTACGGTGACAACTGCGCTCAGATTGGCCAGCCAGATTTCGAAACAATTGACGGGTGTCGTCAATTTTCTCACACCACCGGAAGGAACAGCCCCCCATTGTTAGAGATATTATCTTTATTACATCATCATTCAGCCATACGACGCCCACTGCTGGGCATAGGCCTCCCCCAACGATCTCCACGACGATCGGTCCTGCGCTGCCCGCATCCATCAGCTTCCTGCGACCTTTACCAAATCGTCGGTCCACCTGGTAGGGGGCCTACCCACTGAGAGTCGTCTGGTGCGCGGTCGCCATTGAAGAACATTTCCGCCCCAACGGCTATCGGTTCTCCTAGCTATGTGCCCCGCCCACTGCCACTTCAGCTGAGCAATTCTTCGAGCTTTGTCGGTTATCTTAATTCTCCTACGGATTTCCTCATTTCTGATTCTATCACTTAGGGAAATACCGAGCATCGCTCTCTCCATTGCCCGCTGAGTGACCTTGAGCCTTCGTATGAGGCCCACATTACAATATATATATATAATTATATACCTTTAATATATCTTTATCACAACAAATACAGAATATTTCAGCTTTCTAATTTGGTATTTCAGCGCAAACGAGAGTTGATATTCAAAAGTGATATAGAGCCTGAGCCATTTGCCTGATTAGTTGCCAGGAACGTGTGGCCCTTGTTTCGTCTCTATTTCTGGTTATATACTCGATGGTGAAACCATAGCTTCAATGTGGATTGTCATGTAATGAAATTTGTCTTGAAAGCTATAACATATAGAGGTTATATAATAAGTAAGACGGTAATCCATCAGCCACGTTATAAAAATTGTCTTCGTTAGAGAGGCACACAATCATTTATAGCGGATGCTTATTTACCTAAAAAACTAACTTGCTCGCTAACATCGCACGCGTTCTGTGAATATTTAGATGTCACAATGTTTCACCATGATTGTCTTATTGTTTTTGTGAAATTACTCCACTACTTTGTTATTTATTGATACAAAGAACGAACACTATGAAAATATCTTTCGATCCGGCTGGATTCGAACCAGCATCTTCCAGCAAACCGTGCTGGATGCCATGCCAACTAAGCCACGGAACGAACCAACGGACCTTAAGAATTTTGCTATGTGCTTGTTGCAGTCGAGTTTTTGGTTTTTAACGACTTTTGAAAATACATTTCAAAATGGCGCTTCCATATTTCGACAACGGGAAAAACTGAACTTTAGGTGTAAAAGCATCCGAATATACGACCAATGTACTTTGTTTTGTTTAGCATTGTATATTTTGGTTCTTTTATTAGGCGCCATTTTATTAATTCATTTTGCAAACTAAATTAATTTCTCGTCATCAACCCACTGATACGTCCCACTGGTCTCCTCTCAGGCGAGGGTTTAGGCCTAAGACACGGTATACTCTGTCCAAACATTTAACTTTTGACATAATATGCATGCCTCCAAAGTTCCGTAATTATTGACATAAACCTATAGACAAAAAATGCAATACTTCCTGGACTCTTTTATTTTTTAATTTTAGTGAAAGGACGTGCTCTTTAACTACGATATTTATTGGCTATAGGGATTATGTAACGAAGATCACACAAGTTGATAAATTTCAGTACCTAACTGTCAAATAAATTGCAATGAAATGAAATAATTATAGCAAATTTTTGTTGTTTATTATAATGAATCGTCGGATTCTTTATAATTCTTGAGTGCACAAATTGTCGAACGCAACATCACGATCCCAATCAGACAATCTTCTTTTTGAAACTCGCTCACATTCACGATCAAAACTTCTTATTCCGAGTCGAATCCGAAACGCATTAGGACATCACTAATTGATTAGAATTCGAGCTGTCAAAAGTTAAATAAATTATTGGACGAAGTATAATAACACACTAGCGTGTCATTTGTCATCGATTCTTACTAAGTTTTACTTTACCGTGATTTGTTGACAGAAGAAAATAGTTTGCGATCACAGCTTCTTTCTTTACGTGTTTTCTAATTCTAAAAAAACGAAATATAGTCGTATACAGATATCATATAACAACTAAACATGGTTATCTCACTTTTGGAGTAGTCATCTATAGTGCAAGCGCCCTTGGTATAATAAAAGCCACATGTTCAAAGCTAATCATAGATTAAAAGTTATTTTCCCACAAATATAATACGAACTAAAATTACACCATTTAATTCCGTCTTCTTCTTTCCATTATCATTACTAGACTTTTATTTTTATAATATCAAGTGACGGGACGAACAACTCACTCCCGTACTCGAACTTCGCGACCGGCAAAGGCTACAAACGTTATTCAAAACACTTATCGAATGAAAGTTACCGAACGTCTTATTATTTACATAGTAAGAATGTATTATGGAAATCTCTAATTTTTTCGAATAAAGTCTGGATTTTGTTCCATTTTTATGAATTTATTTTAATGCAAGACTAATTGCATTCCTATATTTAAGGCATTTAAAGTCTTAAAAATGTATATCTAGTAATGCTTCCCCAACCTTCAAACCGAAAAATACTGGACACTCTTGCACAAGTATAATGCTACTTATACTACTACACTCTCACTTGCAAAGTTCTCATATTGCACATGTGACCTTCTTACACTAAGGGGTATTCACACTTTGCGTTGGTCATGATATTCAAGCATATTGACTCCTGGAGTCGTATTAAAATTGAATATATCACAAATGCAGCTATAAAACACTGCATTAGCTGATAAAAAAAAACTAGGATATCATAACAGTAATGTAGAGATCAAATAGCGGCTAAAACACTGTTATTTCACTTCGAGGCACGTTATTAAGATTATCGTCTATAGTAAGGTACATATTGAAGCTGAAAAACATCGCAGTTGCAGACATAAAGTGCCAAATGTCATGGGAATCATATAATTGCAGAAGGGAACACACGCTGTTGCTTTGTCGAGATTGTGCTGGGGTGAGCTGTAACAAATGTAAATAAATGTAACATTACTTACGTGTGGAAATTAACGTGAATCACGCAGAGAGCGGGTGTGAGTCGGGCGTGTGGCGGGTCGGGCGTGTGGCGGGTCGGGCGCGTGTCGGGTCGGGCGCGTGTCGGGTCGAGAGCACGTGCCCGCGCTTGGTGTGTTGTCGTCCATATAAATACACGAAATTATACCTGCCGTTCTCCCGACCCGACACGCGCCCGACCCGCACCCGCTCTTTGTGTGTTTCACGCTTAAATCTTTATTTCTTGCTGTTATTGGCATGAAGACCAAAAAAATCAAAGTTTCCCAAAGTGGTCCCTAGAGCCCCCAGCAGGCGCTGAAGAGTCCTAGGGCGGTAGGGTCCTCGGAAGCAATTGGGAGGCGTTGATGCTGTCCAGCAGATGCTACCGCATTTAAACTACACTACATTTGTTTTTCCTAGTGATTTTATTTTTGATTGATTTAGAGGATAGAGTAGTGGGATGTCGCCGCGTTGGTACAGCGAGAAAATTAATTAACGTGCACTTACCGCCCAATTTGTGTTCTGGTCTAGGTAGAAGTAACTTGAGCTGAACCAAACTGTATAAGTTAAAGCTATGAACACCCAACTGAAAAATCAAACATTAATTATTTAATAAACAGTTAATCAAAATAAGTATTTTAGATACAGTCGCCTAAAAATTGCAATTAAATAATATAGACAATATTGTTGAACTTTTATAATAATTGTCATTCATATCATGACTTTTTACATTTGGCAAAAAAAACTCTTCAGTTTTTGTTACACTGTCTGACAGTTTTTAGATTTGTATTTGGTATACTTTAGTGTTCCGTCATGGAAAAATTTCCATTTTGAATAAATCATATTTTTCCGGATAGTTTTCCAAATATTTTTCCACGTTTGACATTGGTACCTGTCAAAAGTTAAAGTTACTGAACGAAAAAGATGGAGTCATCATAAAGGCTTTATTTCGCTGGTGTCCAATCATTTTAAATCGCGATTTTGATATTTTGATATTTGTAAACGAAGAACATAATATGAGCCTAGGAATAAAATTTTTCAATATATTTAAATTTCTCTAATTTTTCGGGAAAAATTATCACTATTTGAAATTTTTCAGAAAATACCCAACAGTGAATCTAGAATGATCGCTGACATTTGTCATAGGGGTGAGGTAAAGTCGATAGATTTTTAGTGTATTTGATTTTTGAAGCACAGCTTCTCTCTTATACAGTTTTATTTTTCTGATTTTAGAAAGTGTCTAATAACATTTATCTTATCATTAATTTATATGTTTCAAAAACTAATAACACTGACATGTCCATTCATGGTCCATGATACACACACATATACATTTATTAACTAAATACCTATACATATGAACTACAGATTTTAGCGACATCTGACCTCTGAATCATAACTAACGTAAAAGAACATTTTAGCGAAATTGAGTTATTAACATAACTGGGAACAGCAAAATGGTTTTTTAATATCTTATTTAATTTCAATTTTGTTGTTAAGCGAGAAATCGGTGCGATTGGACGTAGTTAAACAAAAAGGATCCAATGCACATCCAGTCACATTCGAGATATGGCAGTTTGAAGTCTAAAAGTTTTTCTCATTCTTGTTTTATTTTCAAAACTTATAACGTAACTCCAGAGATATTTATTTATGTTGGATTATATAGTGATCTAACAGGTTAGATATTAGAAGCCGTTTGGTACATATGACTCATTGTTTGATAATTTTGTGGATTGGATCCTTTTTGCTTAACTACGTCCGATTGTCATTTTTTTACTAGCAAAATGAAACTTTAGCTGTCAATATCTCGAAAGTTACCAAAATATAAATGTGTTAGTTATGACAAGAAGAGCAAATATTATCATAATTCCTACAATAAATATTTATGAAATGTTAAGTCATGGTGTGTAGTAATTAAAAGTTACTATTATGGTGAATTATTGGTGTTCTTACCTATACCACCTTATAGATTCTCTATGTAGCAACTTCATGACTATGTAGAAGAGCGTATATAAGAACAGGTTGCTCATTAGTACGAGCAGCAAATGTGATGCAAAGTCCTTACTGTGCTGCGTGACCCTGAAATAAGGTTAAATAAACTTTTTTATATAACGTCAAGCGACGGGATGAACAAGTCGTGTGTCTGATGGTAATGTACACGCCTGTCCATAACAGTTGCAGTGACACTCAGAGCTTTAAATTGCAAAGATTAGTACCACTGCTCCCGTCACTTTGAGACATAAATTGTCAACCCTTCAAAACTCACATTACTGCTTGGCGGAAGAAATAGATAAGGTGGCAGTAGTACCCTGGACTACACTCTTCCACGAGGAGCTCTGCTGCTACTAGCTAACTAAACTAACCCCGTATCGCGGGTGCCATGGACACACACATAGACAACCATAAATGTAAGGTCGGCAGACTAAAGCACACAAGTCAAAAACCAACATCATTCATTTGAATTAATACATCTTCCGACTACATACATTTGTTGCTTTATTAATTTGTAACTTAAGTTCTAGTGGCGCTCTTTTTAAATTTGTCATGCAAATTCACATCTTCCAATATTATGAACGCAGAACAATAAATACAGTAGATAGAAGTGGTTCGTTAGCGTACGACGGGTGCCAACTATAGGTCACGAAAGACCTATCTTATCGAAAGATTTTTTGTTACAAGAAACGAAAGTAAAGCTTATACCACTGCAATATGTCTCCAATTTGTCGTCGTTCAGCAATTAACCGCAAGATAGCAGGACATTGATTGAAATTTCAATTTAATGTCAAAACGTCGTAACTTGCAATAATAGGCATTGACGGTATTGAACGTTCAACGATATGCCAACCGGGTAAAGTTTAAATAAGATTAACAATCCAGAATTTGTTATTTATTTTTAAATTTAAAACTACCAGCAATCAATATCAAGATTTTGAAACATAACATAAAATAAAAAAAAGAACGAAAAACTACTAGGTATTTTTTTACATACAAAGAAAACAATAAAAAAGAAACATAAAAAGAAATAAACTAAAAACAAATAACATAAATATACATCTAAATAATTCTTATTGTACGCAAGTTCCATTTAGTTTATAAGAAACACGCATTGACCACTGTCAGTGTAATGGTATTTTACCAGTGTTATAGAGGTGCTGTATTGGTGATATAACTTACCCATAAGCAGCAATGGCCCAATTGGCGAGGTTCGCGATGATCAGTAACACGCATCGCCCGCAGTACGTCGGTGTAATGGCGGCAAGAGGACGTGTCACTAACTCTCTCACCGCGCGGTAGACAACGCCACCGTCTAAAATTGAAAAATAATAATTACAAATAAAAAACAGTAATTAATTTTATACAAAGATTTTTCGATCCGGCCGGATTCGAACCGATGTCTTCTAGCATACCGTGGCAGACGCTATACCAACTAAGCCACGGAACGAACCAGCGGACCTCACGAATTATTCTATGTGTTTGTTGTTGTATCCTTGTATTTAGTTTTTTCAACAACTTTTTAGCCGTAGCGTATTTGTATTAATAATTATAACAAACTAGTGGAGTAATTTCACATATAATCACACATATAATTGAATATCAATTCAATAAAAATTTAATTAATTGAGTTTTTTTTAAAATTTCATTGGATCAACTAGTTTACTAGTTTATTTAGTTGCCGTGGCGACCTTTAATTGAGGCAGAATTCAAATTAAGTCTCTGTATCATTATTTCAACTTTGTTATATTAAATACACGTCTTGTTGGTTGTCCTAAAAATAAACAAATTAATTAATTAAATACGGTTTGGGGTTGTGCGGCAAAGACCACTATGCTTAAACTGGAAAGAGCTCAGCGGTTTAAAAAGCCTTAAAGGTACCCAACTTCTCTATTAAACGCCGACTCTTCTGTTCTATCAGTAAGGCAGCTATATGTACTACAAGTGATATTACAAAAACATATGCTATAAAAACATGATCCTACTTTCCTTTGGAAACGTAGACACAGTTATATATGGCATGCTAGGCACTTCCGTGTTCTCAGCGCTCGTTTATATAATATTATTAACAGTAAAATAAATATGTACTCCCTTTCCCGTTACGAAGTCAAGAAAAAATTGACAACTTTGTTAAAATGCATTGATTACGATGCCACAGAGTCGATGTTATTGTAATTTAGTTAGTTAGGTTGTGTATTTTCATCTAAACTTTTTTTGGTATCCAACTCTCCTAATGTTAAGACCTTGTATGCATCCAAAAGTACAATTATAACGCACCCTCCACTTTCTTGATACACTCTGCTTTATATTTTTTGAATTGTACTAACTCTTTGAACATCTTTCTCTTATTTCTGGGTCCCAAATGAACAGTTTAATTGTACTGGTTTTGAGACTACATAGTTACTTTTAGTTTACTTGTAAGCCATTTGTTGATAAATTTGTGAGGTCTGGAAGTTGCCTGACTGGTCAGCAATCGATCAATAACTAATAATTGCTGTGTTATTTCTGTAGTATTTGTAATGGTTATCAATAAAGTTATTATTATTATTATTATTATTATTAATAATGATTGAACAAAAATAATATATATAGCAGCAATAATTGCAGAGACTAGAGAGAATTGTAAGAACTTACCAAGTCTAAATCTGCCAAGATAATAAATCTGGAACGTCATAACGAGACACGTGACCAAGTGCAGTATTGTGAACGCGATCCAGAAGTAAAAATTTGCGTTCAGTACACCCACCAGACCTGGAAAATATAGGAATATACAGCATTGAGTAGTAAGTAAGTAGTATACGGGGTGACCTTAGAGCAGCGATGGGGACATTTTAGAGAAGGGCCATACTGCTTCGTGGAACTTTAAGTAATCTACCTATTCCGATAATAATAAATAAATATGCGTACCATTATTTTTATATGATACGTATAAGTGACGGGACAAACAAGTCGTGTGCCTGGTGGTAAGCAACACGACTGTTCATAACAGTTGCAGCGCCCCTCAGAGCTTTAAATCGCAAAGATCTGAGGGGCACTGCCACTGCGCCCGTCACCCTGAGACATAAGTTGACACGTCCCATCGACCCCCCTACGTAAAGCATCGTATGTCGAAATTGCCAAGTTTATAGGGGATAGTTTCAAAGTTCTGACCACGTCGGGAAACTAGGTAGGTGTAAGAAATACCTATTCATATGTAAACGCGTTTATTCCCGTTTCCAAATGTTAGTACAATGCACCGCAAAAGTTTAAAAGTATATATGTTTAAGGGTAAGTCTGCGATCGCTGCAGGCAAAGCGTTATATATCTTTATGGCCATATTATAGCAATTCCTAGAAAAGCAGTAGTGTTTCTTCTACGGATCTCCTCATTTCTGATTCGATCACCTAGAAAAATGCCACGCTCCATAGCTCGTTAAGTGACTTCGAGCTTTTTATGAGGACTTTTTTATAAATAAAACGTTACGAAATAATGAGAACCCTAACTTCAAGTTTAGGCAATAACTTCTCCTGTTTCGATATCTAGTGATTACTTACCGACGAATATAATCAGTGCTAGGACACCGAAAGTGGCGTGAGCCCTTGCGTTGATGTCGGGGTGCCGTGATTGGTAGATTTTCACCATGCAGAGGACTGACGTCACGTACATGAACGACGTGTCTGGGGACGTTTAAAAAACGTTATTGCTATTTTTTGTTACATACTACTCCACTAGGAAATGAAACTATTTTTACGGATTTAAATCGCGTATATTTCTTTTTTTTTTTTTAAAAACCAACGTTTCGGGTCCTTTACAGGTCCCATGGTCACGGTTGACTAGGAGAAATATTTATATGGCCTACATTTATTCATCTCGTGAGTTTGGGTGTTTGAAGCTGTGTCCGTAGTGCAGAACTATGAGTGTACGTTATTTAACTTATTTAAATGTTTGTGTATGTGTTTTTAAAATATAAATACTAATAAATAAACAGGTTCATAGGTTCAGGTCAAGTTCACGGTTACTGTTTTGGACTTACCGAACTGGAAGTTCATGCTATTGGGGCAGACGTGATAAGCGGCAGACAGCAACCCTTCGCTGACTAGCGCCACGCCCATAGCGTACAATAAACCGAAGTGCTGAGGGATGCCGACGTCCTTTTGGTGCTAGAAATAGCAATTACATGAGTCCACTATACATATCACACTGTTATTACATAATCTCAGTACAGAGTACTTGTAGCGCAGGCTGGATAGACTATAATATTATTTTATGTTTAGAACATTGACTTACAATTATATGGACGTCGGGTCCGCGCTAAAAAGTGTCCGAACTTATAGGGCGTTAATATCGTATACAGAGCGTCATTCACGCTTTAGTCTTCGTTTGTTCGACTGCCAGCGAAGCAAGCAAAATTAGACAGTACTGCGATGACATTACAAGTTAAATTCAACGTTTTAGCTTTTTCATATTCCTTTACATGTCACTGCGTTTAAATAGGTTGACTTGGGACATTTTTTTCGTGGTTTTTGTATTAGACCCGTCGTCCATTTATTTGTAAGTCAATGATTTAGAACTATATTTTTATACATTTGTATTTGTAAAAAAGGAAGGTTGTTGTCAAAAGAACATCGGCGGGTTCTTGACGGGTGTTTTTAACGGAACGCTCACAATAAATCTTGAAATATGACTAAATTCTTCGTTTAATATTAAATAGTACCTCTCACTACTGTTATCAACGCTACGTTCCGACTGTACTAAAAAATACGACCTCAAAAATTCGTGGAATCACATCTATTTGCCAAGTTTTATTGACATCGGTTACTTGAAAGTAGGCAAAACCGGATTCATCTAGTTTGCCACCCTTAGAGGGGGAATATTATCTTCAAATTTAAATGGGACCAATAAAAAAGAGAACCTCCATGTTTGAAGCCGGTTAAAAAATTACTGTTATTAAAAAGTATATTTTTTCAGAATCGATGTAAAACAGACTACTCGCTTCCCGTTAAAGAACGTATTAGAATTTATGTATAGGTTACAGTACATTATTGCAGAGGCCGGGAAGTAAGAGATTGCTGGACGAGTATGAGTTACGAGAACGAGTGCCAGCGAGGCGTTGTATTATTAATACGAGTCAAGCAATTCCTGTTCCCGCCGAGGTATGTGTAGTATTTTTCTCAAACAATGTGAGGAAATAATAAAAGACTAAAGAGAGGAAGACGTATAATAGAAAAAGTAAAAAAATATTAATTAAATTAACATTAAAATTTAGACAATACAATTGCTAAAAAAAATGTCACTGTATATCCAGACCATGGATATAGAAAAAAAGGGGAGATTTGGTATGGGGCGTGGTTCGTGTCAAAATGATCATATTGAGGTGACACGCCTACAAACATCGCCACAGTGACATGGCGATCGTTGTCATACAAGATCTCTCGTAAAACGTGAAAATGCCAAGTTGTACCTTGTAAAAATTGGAGTGAAAACAAAAATTTTAAAACCAGTGAGATTACATTCAACCGGCTATTTGCATTTTTAGTTACTATTTCTATTATAATTCAAAGTTTTCTTTTTGTCTCCATAGAAATTTCTAGACTCAAATATAGTGATGTTCATTTACGATAACTGATGTTTATCGACAATAAATTTTTACTGAAATGTTTGAATTCCTTATATGATTATTGTAATTAAAGTCCCTAAAATATCGAAGCGAAAAGCATTCACGTTAATTGATTTCTTTTGAATCGGATTGAAGCTGCAGGAAAATGGAAAGATTGGTTTTCTTATTATTATTTCTGACTTTGTTTAAATTTCCATAGCAAATGCATTTAAAAAATAAATAAAATAGAATCGGCTTTGTTTTACATGTGCATGCAAAATAAATTAGAAACAATTATAGAAAACTACATAAATCCTTCATAAAAAAACAACAGAATTTAATTTATTAAATTCGTTGATGGTTCGAGTTTACTCTTGACAGTGACTGACACTAGCCCAAGCCTAGTGGTCGCCTTTAAGAAAATAATAATAATTTACATTAATATATTAATTTAATAATACACCAGTACCAGTGTAGGTATAGTATAAAAAATTGAATATTTTTTAATATTAAATGCCACATGGCCACATGGTTTCTAACTATCGATTAGGTAGGACCACATCCCTCGTTGAGTAGCGTCTGTTTAAGGTTAATAAGGTTAACAATTCACGGAGCGGTTTCCATCCGCGCCCGCCGGTTCTGCTAGACAGCGGTTTTATTTCAATATTCACGACCCTGCAAGTTTGTGCGGGCACGTAGCCGCCGCGGTTGCGGGCACGAAACCGTTGCGATTGCGGGACGGACCGCGAAGTTAGTGGGAGTTAACAGCAAGTCGCGCGGTTAATAGAGAATTCACCCCGCGTGCGCCTGAACCGACCGCCAAAGTACGCGGGCGACGACGGCCGCCCAGGTGATCGCGTCTTGCGCGGTTCTACTAGTACCCCATCGCGGCAACCGCGAGCAACCGTCACCACTACAGGCATAAAACGCGCCGTGAAATGTGCTACTAATTTTACATACTTAACTATTACATTCTACACATGCCGCGGTCCCGCGGCTGACGCGGGTGACAACCGCTCCGTGAGTTCCTAGTGTAACGAAAAATGAGTTTCCGCGCCATCTAACGTGTAATAGTTAGCTATTATATACTAGCAGCACTTTTACTAAAACGCCACCTGATGGCGAATGGCTGAACCAGGATGAAAAAAGTACTGAAATATTGTAATATAACTCTTACTCTAGTGACCTGTAAGTTTAATTTTGTTAAATTTTAAAATAGTGTTACGTCGTTTTCACGTTTTAAGCCCTACCCAATCAAAATTTTTAAGTTATGGTAGGAGATAATAGAGCGTAAAGTTTGAATTGCACACAAGCTAAAAAGTGGAGCGGTACCCGATCTTATATAGCGTAATTACATATCTCCCCTTTTTTCCTATATCTATGATCCAGACACATTAATAGTATAGTCTGCTAAACTTCTGATGATGTAAATTTAAATTTTTATTGAATTGATATTCAATTATTTTTTTATGTGAAATTACTCCACTAGTTTGTTATAATTATGAATACAAAGATCGAATACTCAGAAAAAATTCTTTCGATCCCGCCGGATTCGAACCGACGCCTTCTAGCAAACCGTGCCAAATGCTATACCAACTAAGCCACGGAACGAACCAGAGGACCTCACGAATTTAGCACTCATTTTCGTGACCAAAACAAAAAAAAAAAGAAGAAAAAACAAATGAATACCAAAATACTTTAATTTGAATATTACCCCCAATTTCTTTTTTTTAAGTAAACGGTTTACAAAGGTATTTTTAATTCTCGCAACTATGAACACTGAGCAGTTAGCTGTATGAGTTTTTCTTTTGCCTGTTTACATAGTTCATTTGGTAGTAGATAGATATAAAAGTTTAGAGAAGTGGACAGTAATGGATCGATTTTCATGCTTACTTTGCAGGCCTTGGCCGAGAAGAAGTCACACGGTCCATAAATGACAAACAAACGTACAGTTCCGAACATATTTGAGAAAAAGTTTATTTAAATCTTGACACACGTCCTAACTTGTCGAATTTAGATCATAATTAAATAATTTTTATAGCTAAAAATCCATAATTAACGTTGTTACTTTTGAACAATATAATGATAGGGTTAAAAGTGATGTTCGTGTTGTAATAATTATTTCTCTGAAATTAAGCCAGAGAGGGGTCAAAGCTAACCGGTCAGTATTTTTGTTGTAATATCTGCATACCTGTAACTTGACCTGCATCCGATGCCGCCTCCACACCTGAAGAAGGAACAGCACGCCGAGAAGAATGTACCCGAGGTTGGAGTATACGTGGTTGAAGTCCGACACCACCATTAGGGGGTGGGCACACAGGAAATTGAAGTAGCATAAGTCTTGATTACCAGATTGGTTTAGAAGCTGAAATAGTTTATTACACACTAGTTAGAATAGAACAAAATACATTTCCATCACACTTCCACGTATATAGTATAATTACATGCAGAAGATGAAAAACATTGTATGTTTCACGAGCGGTACGGGAATTACGAACCTCAACTCCGAAAGAATCTTAATCCTCAATTCTAATAGTCTCGTTCGTAATTCCTTATTTACCACCCTTAATACAGAATACATACACATACACACGAAGTCGGCCACAATGCCTTAAATTACGCCCACGGGCTATTTTATTTCATTACCGCCCTTGGTTGGTAATCAAATTTATTGTTTTAATTAAGGAAGACAACGATCGTCGAGTACCTTACGACGAATGGAAAATTCTACAATACATTGTATTTTTATTAGTTTTCAATTAGTTTTCATTAATATATTAGAATACATAGATTTTTGTTCAACTTGTTATAATTTAAACTAGGCTGAAGTATAACATCTCTCTTCGGTCAAAAATTGTCTGTAACTTTTGTGCCTTGCCTTCAACAATAAACTTAAAGTTTTTTGCTTTTAATTCCAATTAGAAATAAAATAAATCTCAACCGGTCTTCGGTTTGAACAATACGACAAAATGATGATATTGAATGAAAAAAATATTGCTTACTTCTATTGTTACAATTAAAACCCAACTTACCCTTTGATATGTTACAACAAGTTGTATAACAGGCAATGTATAAAATATTGCTACAGTTAAAACGTTCCATAAGTACATCTTTGATCGGGCTGATAACACTCTAGGACGACATCTGAAAAAAAAAATACATTCGAAGTACTCTGCCCTTCTTATCAAAACTCAAAATATATTTTGCAAAGTTGAGTTATTATCATATCTGAGATCAGCAACGAAATCTATAAACCCCTATAAGCATTTTTTAACATCTTATTTAGTTTAAATTTGAGAGTCGGTATCATAATGACTATGTCTTCAAAAAGACCTGATCAACATAAGGACTAGATCGCAAATCGACTACCTCTGTAGAAAGTCTACAACTTGCAATGACTTGGTAGCAAAACGACTAGATATATCCAGACCATATCGTTAAACAGACGAAATTATTATTATTATTTTATTTTTAACAACAATGTACAGTGTAGTTAAAAATTTGTTGTTCAAAAAATACGAATGAAAATAAAGTTACAAACTTGGTTGGATTTTATATTATTAAATTGTACTTAATAGTGGAAATATTTGTGAGAAATGTAATGTCAGTTATCTTACGATTCGCCTGGTTTAAACTATTATTATTATTACTATTTTCAAACGCTGGAACTCTGCTTCTTTTTTAGTGAATGTCGATTAATGTAGACTTGTGCTGCATTCGAATATTCCACATGCGATTTCAGTTAAAAAACACACTGTAGACATTATGAATAACATTTATTTTACAATAATTTTTATTTGGCAAGTTTAGCTGTAGCATAAAAAAACAAAAGTGCAAATAATAAAAATTTTGTTTAATTTTTTTATGATGGTACTAAATGTTTAACCAAACTGTGCTTTGAAAAAAAATCTAGTTATTTTGCCACCTAATCGTTTTACGATGTTGTCCATTTAACGATATCGTCATTTCGATATTTATAAAATGATGATGTATATAAAATGAATAAGAGACGACCCAAAATAGATCCCTGGGGCACTCCTCTGTTCACCTGCGTACAGGTCGACGTCATAAAGCTACCGTCTGGTCTATGTAACTTTACTTGCTGAGTGCGAGCAGAAAGAAAGTAACTCAATTTTATCAAAGTAAACTTGGCTTTTTTTACTTGTACCCCTTATCACTAGAGCCACAGATTTATTTTATTGAATATCATGATGCTTTTACAACATTATTTAGGTGTGCATGCCACATCGTCGACCTCATCGTCACTTTCCATCAGGTGAGATGGAGGTCAAATGCGCACTTATGTTTTTACATATTTGTGACAATACTCCACTAGTTTGATTATGATTGAACGAACATAAAGATCTGGCTGGATTCGAACCGTTTGTGACAATATGTATTTGTTAAATGAACGAGGTCTAATTACCGTATTTTGGAACTTATATTTTCATTAAAACGTAGCACTTATTTTGAAAGAAAACTGTTTATTGCACGCACATAGACAGAAAAAAAAAAACAGAAAAACCATAATAATAAAAAATAAAAATATTAAATTTATTTATGAGTCATGAGTGTCGCGGCTGGTACAAGGTACAATACTTGCTAAGCTTTAGCCACAATCGGTTTTTTTTAAACCGTGCCGTTACTAGGTGGGTAGGGGTTTTAGGTAGGGTAGGGTAGGTCTTTAGGTAAGGTGGGGTCTTTGGGTAGGGTAGATGGGACTCGGCTAGATTTCGTATTAGATATCTTATTAAATTATTAACCATTATTATTTATTAATCTTACCTAGCTAAATTAGCCACACAGAGTCTCGTACCGTGCCGGTATATGTCTTTGTCAGTGTTAGCGTCGTCTAAAGTGGAGAAATCCGATTCAGTGTCAGACGACGAACTGCCTTCTGCAACACAAAAGTTAAGGCATGACTGACACGAGTCGAGAAAGAGAAAGATTCCACCTACCCAAGTAGGCAACGTGATAGTATAATTGAATGGCTGAATAAAAAAGAACAAAAACAGTATACTCGGGAAGATGGGAAGATGTAGTGTCAAAGATAGAAACAGGTGGGTTAGGTGGTTCCATCGAGTATATAACCAGAAATAGATACGAAATAAGGGCCATCCATCCCTGGCAACACATCAGTCAAATGGTACCGATATCACTTTTAAATATCAACTCTCGTTTGCGCTGAAATCACAAATTAGAAGAAGAAATGCAGTCTTGTCGAGAGTCCATGGTTAGTCGTTTGAATTTGACACTTAAGACAGTCTCCGATAGAGGCGATACCAATCTTGTCAAATTTAATGCTAACAAAACGCAGGCCTGTCTTTTCTCCACCAAACCCTTTCACCTGACTCCGACTTTTCGTGATATATCCATACCGATAGTCGACCATTTTCACCTACTTGGAATGGACTTGTCGTCCAATCTAAACTTCGGCAGATAAATTGAATCCATGGCCAAAAATGCAGCCTAGAACTTGGCATCCTTTCCAAGGTGAGGCGTTACTTCACACCGGGACAGTTGCTTCAGCTGTGCCAAGCACAAGTCCTGTCGTGTATGGAGTACTACTGCCACTTATGCGATGGCTTTGCTAAATACCAACTGGCCACCTTCGATTCAATACACAAGCGAGCTAAGAGGTTTATAGGTGACTCGGAATCAGTAGAGCTGAAGCTGCAGAGCCTTGAACACCGCCGTAGAGTTGCCAGCTTATCGGTATTCTACAGGATATATAACGGAGAGTGTGCGATGGAATTGCATAATTTGATTCCGCCTTCCCCTGTCCATCATCGGGGGACTAGACGTGGGCTGGGGTTCCACCCCTATGTTGTGGATATTCCAAGGATTCGCAGGAAGCGTTACGCTTCCACATTTATATGGCGAACGGCTATGGAGTGGAATTCCCTGCCTGCAGACTTGTTCTCCGAACGCTATAACTTGGACCTTTTCAAGGCGAGAGTGAATAGGCATTATCTAGGTGTGCATGCTACATCCTCGACCTCATCGTCACTTTCCATCAGGTGAGATGGAGGTCTAATGCGCACTTATTTAAAAAAGAAGCTGAAATAGTACAGCGCCAACACCTGACTGTCTGTACGTCTCCGTATATACCAAAAATATTTTGTATTTATTGTAATAAAGATAATGTCTCTAACTACGGGAGGGCTGTACCATTCGATAGTGTGGTCAATTACAAAACAAACCGAATCACATTTCATCGGTAATTATGTATTAAATTATGTAATTTTTCAATTTTCGTCCATTAGCAAAGCTCAAGTTAAACTGGTCGATTTGAAGTGAAACAATTGACGACATCCGTTAATTGTTTCGAATTCGGGCTGGCCAATCGGAGCGCAGTTGTCACCGTCATAATATGGTAGAATAGTTTTCAAACAGATTGAACGACATTTCGTCTCTATTTCTGATTGGCCATGATGGGTGGTTCGGACTTGTAGAAAGAATGAATAAAAGAAGATTGACGAAACAAATTTTTTGCAGAGCCGTAGCCACGTTGCGGCAACAGTCGTTGGTTCATGTCCAGTCGAATTGAAGGAGTTTTGTTTGTGTTTGTCCGAATCAAATCAACATGGAGTATTTTTACTAAAAATATAATAAATACCATCATATTCAATAAAATAATACATTATGAATCAAGGGGGTTGAATAAGAAATTACCAAGACTCGAGGTTTAAAATTTTTCCCGCCCGTGGTACATACAATGTTGTTACTTTTCAATTTCTTGAATGAATAACTATCGCTTTACAACACAACATTTACGGATTTTGTAAATGACGTGATTCTTCAGTGGATAATACATACAGCTCGTACTAAAAAGTAGTTTTTTTATAATATCAAGTGACGGGACGAACAAGACGTGCGCCTGATGGTAAACTACACGCCTGTCCATAACAGTTGCAGTGCCACTCGGGAGCTTTAAATCGCAAAGATCTGAGGGGCATTGCCACTGCGCCTGTCGCCCTGAGACATAAGTTGACAAGTCTCATGTGCCTGTAACTTCACCAGCGGGTGCTGGTACCTAACAAAACCGGAACACAGTAATGCTGACATTACTGCTTGGCGACAGAAATAGGTAACTTCAAGTTTAGGTAGATTAGATTTAGATTTAACGTCACATTATTACATAGCATTATATTCTATTGTGTCACAAAATTGCAAATTACAATAAATAGGACGCTTAAGGCGAAAAATGGAAAAAAACAAAACCCATAATAATAAATAATTTCCCGGGACGAATTCTTTCACAAGCTGTACAGCTTCTAGACATAGACATAGACATACTTTTAGACATACTTTTATTGGCACGAATACAACAACACAAAACCACACTAAAACAGTTTACATACAAATAAGTAGGTACATGACTCATAATTACAAGTAAAACTAAAACAATGATGCACAGTAGACAGTAGTATGGCCTGTGTTGTAGCGACATGCCAACACGGGACTTATCTCAGCATATGCTGCAGTAGATTTACCACAGCGCTGATTTTCAGTAAAGTCAAAGTAAAAGAGTTTCAGTTTTCTATAATATTTATTTATTGCTTGAGGCTTTATCCAACTTATACTCCGTCCAATCATTTATTTAACTTTGGACAGATCGAATTCTAATCAATTGGTGATGTCCTAATGCATTTCCGATTCGGTTTTTTATAACAATTGATTTTATTTATGAAGAAGTTTTAATCGTGAATGTGAGCTCCAATAAAGAAGATATTGTCTGATTGGGATCGTGATGTTACATTTGACAATTTGTGTACACAATAATTAATAAATAATGCTAATGAGGTTATGATTCTCGTTCATATGGAGAAGAATCCGACGACTCATTATAATGAACAATAAGAATTTATTACATTTATTTATAATTCATTTCATTTCATTAGAATTTATTAGACAGGTACCAAAATTTAATAACTTGAATAATCTTCGTTACATAATCTGTTGGTTTGACAAATATCGGAGCTAAAAAGCACGTCGCTTCACTAAAATTAACAAATAAGAGTCCAGGAAGTATTGCATTTTCTTTTGTCTATGGTTGTATGTCAATAATTACGGAACTTCGGAGGCATGCATATGTCAAAAGTTAAGAAAGTTGAATATGATGTTACGTCGACTTCAAGCCACACTGAATGTCGTCGAGACGCGTTTATTAGTTAAGGGTAGTTATAGACAACGTACCACTACGCTGTGTGTTGTCTCCGTCTCCGACGAGACGCGACGTACTCTCGGCACTGTTTGACATGACGTTACGTCGACGTCTCGCTACGTTGATTGGTAGATCGGTTACGTTCTCGTTGTCGTGGGGTAGGTTAGGAGAGGTAATGAGGCCTTCTGTAAGAAAATATATAAGCGTGGTACACAAACACAGTAACTAAATAAATAAATTTCAACAAACAAGAACGTATGAATTTTACGGTTTCCAACTTAGACCGAGATCGCAGAGATCCCAGGTTCCATTCCCGGGCCGGGAGATATATTTGTATGGCCTACATTTGCACCCCTCATGGAAGAATGGCATAAGTGGATTGACGTCAAAAACCCACATCCTCTCCAATCCTTGTAACTCTAAGAGTTACAATAAATGGAGAGGACGTGGTTTAAATTATTCTGTATCTAATGGAGCAATAAACATGTTTGACGTAACTCCACTTATGCCATTCTTCCGTGAAGGGTGCTATTTATGTCTCTCGTGCCCCAGTGCGGGGCAATGAGTGCGTGAGTTAAAACAAAAACACAAATTTGATTCAAAGTGTATTTATTCCATTTAAATTCATAAGAAAAAAGCAATTTCTAGACTTTCTTGCTCGTTCTTCTCAGGGAAGTTAGCACAGTGAATGTGCTTAAAAATGACGGTTTTAAGTGTAAATTTATTTTACTTATGGAATAAATGGTTCTTTTTTTTATATAATAACGCACACACTCAACATAGCCCCGCACTAGGGAAACCCTGTGTCGCGGGTGCCATGGACACACACATAGACAACCACAAATTACACCCAAACTCACGAGAGAAATAAATGTAGGCCATACAAATGTTTCTCCCGGCCCCAGAATCGAACCTGAGACCTCTGCGTGGCAGCCCGGCATGGTAACCGTTCGGCCACGGAGACAGTTAACTTTGACTTTTGATTGTTGTGTCTGAATCTTACGGTGTTTTCCATTTAAATTCTGTATACAATTTAGCTAGAGAATAAGTTCAATGCAATACCTCCTCCAACCTCTCGGTGATGAAAGGCAAATCATGACAATGATGAAGAGCGTCAAATAAGATTCACAATGGAAAAACCATTCATTCATTCATTCATTCAAAGACACGAAAATTGGCAAACCTTCACTCTGACTGGATTCCACGTTGGTGTCGTGGCTCTTTCTGTTGCAGAAGATAGCGATGAAGAACGCGACGTAGAATGTTAAGAAGAAAGACAGTGCCACTGTAGCCGCTATTATGTACTCCTGGTAGGATATTGTTTGGATTATTCTGAAACTGAAAGAGGGAAACACGTTTTACAGTATTTGTGTGTTGGAAGCATCGAGTATATTAACCAGAAATAGATACGAAATATCATTAAATTTGTTTGAAAATTATCCTGCCAAATCATTACGGTGACAACTGCGCTGCGATTGGCCAGCCCCAATTCGAAACAATTTACGGGTGTTGTCACTTTTGTTTCACCTCAAATCGGCCAGTTTAACTTGAGCTTTGCTATAATGGACGAAAATTGCAAAATTACATATTTAATATTTAATTACCGATGAAATTTGATTCCGTTCATTTTGCAATTAGATGTTTTGCGGTTTTTCCCACACCACCAAATGGAAAAGCTTCCCATAGTTACGAGATATTATCTTTATTACATTAAATACAGAATATTTTCGGAATATACGGAGATGTACACACAAATTTTTTTCGTTATGGATAATCAACACTGATTTTGCATATTTCTTACAACCTTTCGTTTCAAAAATGGTCAGCTATGAGTGACGAAAATAAACAATGGAAACGAGTAGAAAACTGTGGTGCAAAGACGCTTTCGAGAAGAGCTTGGATTAATAATTGATAAACCACGGCAAGGAGGTGGTAATACCAATGACGGTAAGACTGCGAGAAGGCTTTTTTATAATGTAGCCTGATCAGCTGAAATTACAGGAGTCGAAGAAATTTTGATAAAGCGACTCTATGTAATCCTTCAAGCTTTATCGTCTGGCATAATGATAAAGTCCCAAAAATTTGGGCAATATGCTTTGGAAACTGCGAGAATATACGTCAGTAAATATGATTAGTATTATATGCCATCTTCGGTACACAAAATATTAATTCACGGAGAAGGTATAATTAATCATTTTGCAATGTTACCTATCGGACAACTTTCAGAAGACGGTCAAGAATCTCGTAATAAAGACTACAAAAAATTTAGATTACACCACGGAAGAAAGTGAAAAAAGTGCTCTAGATCTGCAACAAATAAAGATGTGTTTCACACGTTATTTTGTACTTCTGATCCATTTATAACCAGTAACCGAAAACCTTACGTTCAAAATCGACAGGAGCTTGACGACGAGACGCTACGTCTATTGAAAGTGGATCAACTCATCACTGATTCTAAAAAAGATATTATGTTACGTAATAATAGGCCATGATAGAAGAGAGAGGCTAGAGTCTAAAACAGATATCCGGAATAATAACAAATATTTCGGATATCTGTTTTTCATGTTTTTTCTTGTCTCGTATTTTTATTTTATATAATTTTAAGTAAAATTTATAATTACATTTAATTTATTTTATGAATAAAGAATTACCGTAACAACGCATTTCCATTTAAAAAAAAATAAATATAGGGTAGCATTTACCAGAGAGAGATTTATGATTTTGCACATTTTTTGTCTCTCAATTACGAGTAGTTTAATATAAATGTATATGCGTTTAAAAGCGTGGTAATTCCCACTGTGTATAATAAAGAATTGAAAGGTGTATCCCAAAAAACAAAAAGTTATTTATATAGTTATTATAGTTATTAGATTTTTGGTCCGTAACTGACCTAAATTTCCCATAGTGCAGCGGCGAAAAACAAAGCACAGGACAGGGGGGGGCGCGGTTTGCAGAGACAGTGCACGCGCGGTCTTAGTCTAACGACGACACGAAAATTATTTGTACTTCCGCTCGCCCGATCGCCGCAAAATGGATATTTTATTTATTCTAACGTCCACGTAAGTGTAAATAACTAAAAAATCAATAATTGTAAATAACTTGATTTCACATTTTTAACTACGCCAAAATCGTCAATTCTTATTAAATGTTAACTAGTTACTAAATCATAAACTTATCTTTTTTAGTACGTAAAACATTTCGATGATAGTTCAAGTAAAAAAGTTAGTTTTTATTTTCTAGAGAAAAGAGGTGCTTTTAGTAGGAAAGGAGATGTGAAATCATTGTTAATGTTGCTGTCTCACTGGGCGCACGCTTGGTAGTATTCCATTGCACTCGAAATCAAGCGTAAAGGGAATCGGTTTATTCCTATGACACTCCAAAACAGATTTGTTGATTTATTTTTTGTTCTATCCTATATCCTAATTTTATTTTAGTCTATGTTAAGTTGTAACATGATTTACTATGACATGTGTGAATATGTCTCACTTTCAAATATACAGCCTGTATATTGCATTGAAAAGAGTTAGAGTTGTGTATGGGTTTTCTGCTAGGAGTATGAGGTGGTATGTAATAGTGTGTAAATGTTGGAGGAGTGATGTGTTTCAAAGGCAAGACAGGTAATTTCTATGTGTATTCTCTATATGGAGGTGGATATTGTTAGTAAAGGTGGTGTATTTTAAATTTACCTGAACTTCTTAACCCGTCCATCGCTGCTGGCAACTTCAACTGTTTGTTCAGTCCACCCAAAGTAATGCGCCATCTTTGGCAGAGTCCCGTTGGAGGGTTTACCCTCAGTGCAGTCGCCGTCTGATGTCTTGACTATGAATACGATGTAGAAACCCAGTGGGAAGGTATCTTGCTGTGTAAAAACAAAAATGGACAATTTATAGTCTGTCGTTTTTGAAGATGGAGTAAAATGACAGTTAATTGCGCAAAAGTGTTGCCCGCTTGCGAGCAACTAGTGATTGCAGTCGATAAATATTCTATCGACTATCGATTGAATATGGGTCCCGCTTAAGGAATAAATAGCCGATTCGCCCAACGGCTGGACACAGGTTCATGTGAATTGTTCATTTTTGAAAATTCATACAAAAATACACTAAATTTAGCAGTGTGTGCATAAAAATACAAACAGGAGACATATTTAAAAGTTTTTCATTTGAATTTAATATACATAATCAAACCCGCCTGTCGTTATTAAAATATGTGACAAACAATTGATTTCGATACTAATAGACCAACTGTCAAAATAAGAAAAAAGTATACAATAACGCAAGTAGTAATCATTAGAACGTCTTATCATTCGCAATTCAGATATTTTTGGCAAAATTATATCTTCTTTCACAATCTCTCGATTAAACTGTCGACAACAACTACATGACTGTTGAAAATTTTACGGAAACTGGCAACCCTGCAAATGTCATTTTACTCTATCTTCAAAAAAATTACAAATTGTAATATTGTAACATTTGCTAATATTAGTGAAAACAGTTCCGAAGTTTACCGCTAGATGGCATTGGCATAGGAAACGCAATTTCTGAATCGGGGTGTTAGGATTTTCCCTAAAGTAATGAGCTGTCACTGTCACCAGTATTTTGTTTGAAATTGATCGATTCAACGATTGCATTTCTACGATTATCCTCACTATTAAGCGGAAGCATCTCGAACTCGCGCCCATCTTTCGGGACAGGTTACGAGAACACCTCTGAGACAGTCAGTGTCTTTTTGTAATATTCGCACCCACCGGGACTTGTCGCGGACTCAGAGCCGCGCTTGTGTAACCCTATTGTTAGCTGTTTTGATTCCGGGACCCCTGTGGGGTGTACAGGGTGGTAGAGATTCGCTCAGCTAGCTGGTGCCCTCCTACTACAATATTAATTTCATTTTATATCACAGTGTTTTTACTACCATTTATGTTTCGTTAAATTACAATTACTCGTATCGAGTTCTTAGGTTTTCGCGATTGTTACACATAGGAAATGAAACTATTTTCCGGATTTAAATCGCGTATATTTGTTTTGTCAAACAAACCGACGTTTCGGGCCCTTTACAGGTCCCATGGTCACGGTTGACTGAGGTGGTACAGCCTTCAACCAGTTATGTCTAATATTGATGCAAACCAACTTGTTTTTTCACTATAGTTACAATAGTTATTAATTAAATACCTTATTTTTAATTTTACAAAGAAAACATTCCAATTTACGCTACATTAAATTTACAAATTATTTTATTGATTGAATTTTTATTAAGTTCAATTAAGTATTAATTAATAATACAAATTAGAATAAACTAAAACATATTAATTAGTACTGCAGTCTTATGTCTGTTTGGGATTTTTCATTAGAGGAAATACTAGAGGAGGCCCGAAACGTCGGTTTTGTTTGAAAAAAAAAAATACGTGATTTAAATCCGGATAAATAGTTTCATTTCCTACAATTACTCGTATTTTGTAATGATTATTAATATAAAGATGGAATACACAAACAAATTCTTCGATTTGACTGGAAACTTTTTTAAATTGCCTAATACTAGTCACGTTCCAAGTGACGACGGGACGAGACACGCAGCTTTAAATCACAAAAATCTGAGGGACCCTGCCACTGCACCTGTCACCTTGAGTCAAAGTTGACAACACTCGTGTGCCTGTAATATCGCCAGTACCTTTACCCTTCAAAACAAAATAATGCTCACATTGCTGCTTGGCGGCAGTAATAAGTAAAGTGTCAGTACTTCCCTGTGTTAGCGTGTCGTGACATTATTTTATTTTATTCTGTTAGAGAACTTACTTTGCGTCATTAAGAATTAGTTTCATCGAAATAAGAAATAAATCGATATCATCATCATCGATATCAACGGATCGCTGCCAGGCGGCCGCCATTACGAAAAGCATCTTTGACTAGAACAGACGTGTTTTGGTTTGTTTGGATTTATAGTGAAAGATCTTACAATATAATTTATAACAGTCACTGGAGTCTCATTTCTATGTCTACTTGGAAAACCTTCTAACACCTGGACGAATTCTTTCACAATGAGCTCTGTATATGCCAAGCTGCAAGTTTTCAAACCTTTGTTGGTATTTTATTTTTATTCCACATATTTACTTTTAAATGAAAATGTAGATAACAGTCATACAACATTACTTACCGTCAAAGTAATGCCACCACGACGCGTCATTGTCAAGTAGTAACCATCGTAGAGAATATCTCGCTCGTTGTCAAAAACTGGACACTGGAACGAACAAGGTTATTAATACATTAAATTAAGTTATTTTTGATACAAGTTCGGAAAGTTGGTCATTATTCACGAGTCTCGAGGTTTCTTCGAGACTAGTGAAAATGACAAATCCGCACGTGTATCAAACTACGTTTTTTAATACATTTGCGAAAAAACTACATTGAAAGTAAAATAAAACAGTATATTTAGGTGTCTTGCTTAATACTCACCTCCCGTCGTTGTTAATACGCAATCAGTCATCTTTATGGAAAATATTTTGGTATTTTTAAATATAACCCGTTGTTTTATAACACACCTATGCAATTTAAACAACTATGGTGTTTGTAAGTAAATATAAGTTTTAATGACGAATGACTTACATCACAAAGTACATAAATATTAAATAAACATACAACCTCTTTAGTTCTATGTTTAAGACTTGAAACAACGGTAAATTTAAAAAAAAAATGGAAAAGTAAAAAGAACTAGTACGAAAAATATCACGTTTTGAGCAAGTGTATTAAAAAATTTCTTAAATACAAATCTGTATAGATCGATATAGTTACATATCAAATACACATTTTTTTTATATCAACGAGATGTACTAGGGTTTAAGAGTCGATACTGTCTCAGCTCGAATTCAAGTTTTTCCCGTACTAATGTGGTTCATTTTGCTTGGGTCGAGCGGAACGGACGCTGGCTTTATTTCAGAATTTTTTTTTTTTTACACACGAATTAAAGTCATTTCAAAAATGTATATAGTGTTCTATTTAGTTCAGTTAATATAAAAAAATAATTGGTATATGCATTCACTTGAAATTATATGGACGTCGGGTCCGCGCTAAAAAGTGTCCGAACTTATAGGGCGTTAAAATCGTATACAGAGCGTCATTCACGCTTTAGTCTTCGTTTGTTCGACTGACAGCGAAGCAAGCAAAATTAGATAGTACTGCAATGACATTACAATTTAAATTCAACGTTTTAGCTTTTTCATATTCCTTTACATGTCACTACGTTTAAATAGGTTGACTTGGGACATTTTTTTCGTGGTTTTTGTATTAGACCCGTCGTCCATTTATTTGTAAGTCAATGGGTATATGTAAAGATTATATTGAATACAGCGCGTGTTTTTCTTGTAAAATTTCGAGGTAAGTTTGTGTTTATTTTCTTTCGTGAAATTTTTTAGGCATCGTGTTTTACACACCGTATAGAAATCAGTGTATACCCTCAATTTTACTATTAGTTACAAAGCGATTGATTCAACGGTTTCACTGTTGTGTGGAATCAATCAAAGCCATTTGCAGTAGATACAACCTACTCTAAAGAGGAAGAATTAGGATTTTAGGAAGTTTCGAGACAGTTAAAAACAGCCCTACTCATGTGTAAACTTACAGAAAAATTCTGTATGGAGACAACAGCGCAGATGTCGTCATCTGACTCGATCATGACGATCACGCTCTTCGGTTTTGAGAACCATCCGTAATTACGAATCTCTAAGTTGCTGCGGACGAAGTAACTGAAAGAATAATAAATACATTTTTTAAAATATACAAGTGTAACGCCATTAGTACGGATTTAGTACCCAACGCTACCAATAGATGGCGTAGTTTGTACTCTAAAACACGCAAGCAAGTTGTTAGCAAAAGTAGTATAAGACTGGCGAAATATTCTGTGCCATAGCACGCTAGACATGGGTAATAGCGTTACATTTCCGTCGCCGTGACTGTCGTTCCGGTTCCAAAAAAATCACAGAGATAAATCATCGTGATTTTGTCACGACTGTTACTTCCGTGACCTTGTCACGCCTATAACTTACATCACGATATACGGTTTTTGCCAGCGGCTTCTTTCTAATACTTATAGCCGTTTTTTATAGAATGATTTAAGTTTTTACTCCCTTTGTAATAAGTTTCAATTCCATTCAAAAAGTTGATTTTGTATTTAATTTAATTTTGTTCGTTACTTATTTAATGCGAATCTTTGGATTGTTAAAAATAGCAATAAAGTGTAATGTAATTATATTTCTAGTAGAATACACAAAGTAGATTATACATAAATATAAAATACCAACTCTTCCTATAATAAAATAAATATACAAAAATATTTTATTTTGTTAATAAATAGGTTTATAGTAACTGCTGCAGATTTTTTTCATCCGCCCTTTCTTGTAGTAACCTACGACCCTTGTGAGTGAGCAAAGAAAGTCATCCTATCTCACTCACTCCCATCGCCGAAATGGCCCGATTTGAAGAGAACTACAACGAGTGGCGCGCTCAGTCACCACGGAACGGAGATCGCGCATTGTATCAAATACGTATGTCGTGATGTGAGTGACGGGGATAGCTATTGGAACAGAGGAACACCTATGTGACTCTGGAACGTCGTTCCTTCGGAACGAGTCACGGTGATACTGTTTGACGGCGGATTATCGTGATTTTTTCATCGTGACGTTATTTATCACCCATCTCTATAGCACGCCATTCAGGCGGAAGTGTGCCCGTGCCCACATTGACGCCCTTAGCGAGTTTGCGCTCTGCATCTGCGTTCCGAATCCGAGATTATACAAATCTAGAAAACTCGGACCCACTTCGGATGGCGCTTGTGCACTAAGTCCGACACGAATTTGACAAAATACGAATATCGCTTGTACACCTAGAGATAAAACGATCCCTGTGACATTTCGGACCGTCATTTCTCGGGTTCGCAAATGATACAAATCGGACGTAGTGCGCAGACTGGGGAGATGTTTTGTGAATCGTATTCTTCCAATTCACCGTGTACATCGAGTATATAATATAGAGATGAAATAAGGCCCATGTATTCCTGGTAACACATTAGCGATACAGCTCTTATAAATATCAACTCCCGTTTGCACTGAAATATAGACAGGCCAACAACTGACCTGTGTGTACGTCTCCGTATATTCCAAAAAATATTCTGTGTTTATTGTAATAAAGATAATATCTCTAACAATGCCGTGCTGTTCTATTCGGTGGTGTGGGAAAAACAGCAAAACATCTAATTACAAAACAAATGGAATCACATTTCATCGGTAATTAAATATTAAATATGTAATTTTGCAATGTTCGTCCATTATAGCAAAGCTCAAGTTAACTGGTCGATTTGCAGTGGAACAGTTGACGACATCCATTGACCACACCCGTCAATTGTTTCGAACTCGGGCTAGCCAATCAGAGCGCAGTTGTCACAGTAATGATATGGCACATTGACTTACAATTATATGGACGTTGGGTCCGCTCTAAAAAGTGTCCGCACTTGTAAGGCGCTAAAATCGTATACAGAGCGCGACAGTCTTCATTTGTTCTACTGACAGCGCGATACTGCGATGAGATTACAATTTAAATTTCGAATAGGTTAACTTGGGATATTTTTTTCGTGGTTTTTGTATTAGACCCGTCGTCCATTTATTTGTAAGTCAATGATATGGCAGAATAATTTTCAAACAAATTAAATGACATTTCGTCTCTATTTCTGGTTATATACTCGATGACCGTGTATTAACGCAGATTCTTTGCTACAGCACGTTCTTCTGGCGGAAGTATGCCCGTGCCCACATGGCTGCCGTCCACTAACTAAAGGGCGGCTAAGTCCAAATGGTCAAATATCCGTATTAAATAGCAAAAAATAGAGCACAAAATTCTCTTTTAAACACAGTTACAATTAGTTAATGTGTTCGACTTATCGGAACTTACCCTAACGATGCACAACTGAAATATCATTAAACAATTTCAATATTCTAAAACTGGGTTACGTTTTTTTATGATATCTCAAAAAAACATTTTGTCAGTTAACCGCGTTAGCGGGCGGCAGATGGGGGTCCTTAGACCAGCTACTTAAATTATTTAATTTACACGGAGTAAGAGAATTTAGCAGCCAATTGCAAAACATCCTTCGTAAAAAGTTAATTGTATTGGAGGCAGAACCCAGAGTGGCACGTTACTGCTTTCACCTCTGTGGTACAGCTGAATGAAATTAGTACCTTATTTCTATTGAAAAAGTATGAAGTATACATTAATAAATTATTAATGTGTTTTATAATGGGCTTATTTCCAGTCAATAAGTCAGTCTCGCCTGCGTGTCCGGGACGCTCATTTAAGTTAAAACATAAAGGCTAAACAAATAGAGCGTATTTTGCCATGACAGTTAGACCCTTGTTTGCTTCATTTTTATTGAAGTCATATGCAGGATTAGACTTAAATACTTGAGTTATCCGTTACATATAGTTAATACATATGTTCTGTTATGAATTTTCCTAGACTTACCTGTCCAATTCCTGCTGTTCCTCCTTGTTTAATTTCTGGTTGCACCTATACTTCCTCTTTAGACTCTGCGTATTCAAATTTATGTTATTCTTTTGATCGAATGGATAGAAATAGTATTTCGGCTGGCTAGGCGTGCTCGTCAGGTTCGTCACCGAGTCTAGTTGTATGTAAAAGTCTTCCACGGTCTCGACTAGTATTGTCACCTGGATTGATTCAGGTGAGGAGGACGTTAGATGTATTATTGGAATGTTTAAGGGTGATATGTCTGTGGAAAAAAAGAGATAGGTTGAACAATTCGCAACTATCAATTTCATAGTTCATGCGCGTTGAGTGGTTAATTGTAACTGACCAATTAGACGAATTCTAAAGTGTGAGTGATTCCTAAGCACCTATCTATTGTTATGCCAATGAAATATCGAACCATCACTAAGTAAAGTGTATTTTTTTGACAAATTCATAATGAAAAGGAATGTTAAGGTGATAACGTTGAAACGGACACAAGAATGATGAAAATACTTCAGGTTATTTTTAGTAGATTGTGTAATTAGTAATAATTATAAAGTGAAGTAGTTAAGGGTCAGTACATATTGTTCACGATTTGAAGGGAGAGCCCTACAGTAAGAGAGCTTTGAAACGCTTGTAGAAGCACTACAGCGGCGCAAATTCCAAACCTTGGAGCGTTTTTAGGTGTTGCTTGCTTGATGTAATTAAATAGTAGTCAGGAACAGAAGTCATAAATTTCTTTTCAGATCAGATCTACTATTGTACATTTTTTGGTCTCTTAACTTGTAGGTAGTTTAGTGCGTTTACATAGTAGTGACGATAGCGCCACCTACGTCGCGGTGGCGCTGTCGTGATACACTTTACTGCACTCTGATGCGCGGCTACTCACTGGCGATATAGCCAGCGTCTTGGCGGCGCGTACTGGCGTGAGCGCTGGTGCTGATGCGCTACACGTTCAATGGGGCGTTCAAGGTTTGCGTGTATATTACACGCAAACATATGTCTTGTGTTGGTTACATTCAACACAAGATACATAGTACGCGCAAACGCTCCACTGTTGCAAATTTGAGGTCTAAGGGTGTCATCAAATTAGAGCGCTACTACTAATTGTCATACAATATCTAGTCTACCTTATCTAGGCCTTCGACATGTGGTGTTACCGTAGGTTACCACGCATTAGCTGGGCCCAGAAAGTTCACAATGAAACAGTTCTTCAGCGCATTGGGAGGGATCGAGAACTCTTGCAGACCGTCAAGAAAAGGAAAGTTGCGTATCTTGGACACATTCTACGGCATGAAAAGTACCGACTTCTTCAACTGATAATGATGCAAGATCGAGGGTAGACGACGTACTGGAAGAAGGTAAAAGTCGTGGTTGCGCAACATCCGGGAATGGACCAATATTGCCAGCGTAGAACATCTGTTTCGCTTGGCTCAGGACAGGGAAGAGTTCTCCAAGCTGACGGCCAGCTTCCAGTAGTGGAGAGGCACTACGTGATGATGATCTAGTCTACAAAGTGGCGCTGCGCTTTTAATAATATTGTTTAAAAATTAGTAATGACGCGGCTGCCCACAAACGCGTCACTGCAGCGTTTCTAATTTGAAGGCGCCCTAATTGTTGGCAAAAGTGGCGCGCATGTGTCACAACAGTGGCGCTGCGACTGCGCTTCTAGATATTATATAAACAGTAGGCGTCTATAAGCATCTAATTTGAAGGTGCACTTATAATTGATCTTATTAATGGTCGAGATTAGAGTTTAAAACGATCGTGAAATAAAGTTTATTTCACAAAAATGTGCAAGGTGCTTGCTATAGGTATTCAGTGAGTAAATTAATTTAAAAAATACATTATTTTACTCTATAACGCCTTATTATTGGTCTGTTTGAATTTCGCACTGCTGTCTTTGACGCGAATGAGCTATATACCTTATTTTGTAAGAAACAGAATCGACAAGTAATTACTTGTTAAAATATTTTCTGTTTTTAATTCGATGGAAGATTGTTTTGAGTTACAACTACGTATAAATATTAATAAAATAAATATTAGACAACATCCATGCGTTGCTCTGATCTCAAAATAAGTAACTAAAGCTCTTGTATTATGGAAATCGGAAACAACAATGGTACCACAAACTCCCAGACCCGAGACAATATAGAAAAGTTAGTTTTCTACACTGACCTGGCCGGGGATCGTACCCCGGACCTTAGAGGTACATGAAAACCGATGTACAAGCCACTCGACCACGTTGGTCGTCTACATATATTTCTTTAATAAAAGCTAGAGGCAGCTTCAGTGGGACATTCACATGAAGAGGTCCCGTGTTCCATTGCCGGATGAATCAATTAGAAAACGCTACATCTAAATTAGATCCGATAATATTCTCGGTGTTTTAGCATTCCCAGACCAAATTATTTATGCTCTGGTAGGTACTTGCAATATCCTAGGCCATGCAATATCAGCCAGCAAATCACTATGATCTATCTATCTGGAATTTGTATTTGCTAGTAAATGCAATCCGGACAACCCATAATTCAAAAAATCCGGATTTACTAGGATTTTTCATAGATTTTGAAATTCGGATTTCAAAATCAAATCCGTTTTTTTTAAACAATTTTATCACGCTTCCGCAAATAGAATTTTGATCACAATACGAATACTGACAGTCACGAAGAGGTGTCTTTGAAACTTTTTCAGTTCTTGTATTTCTTCTACGTTATACAATTTTGAAATATTGAATGTAAGCCATTAATGACAATGTTTGTCAATTTTTTCCTACTTTAAAAAACTGGTTTCCGGAATTGTAATGTTTCGTGATCGAAGAAGATTATATTCATACCGAAGATTAGATTAAAAACGTGTATTTTTTTATCAAGTAAAACGTGAAGCTAAATTCAAATAGTTTCCGAAAAAAAATCTAAAAATACCAGATTATTTGAAAACCTTTCTTGAAAAACAAAAATTTTTGAAATCCGAATTTAAATTATAATCTGGATTTGCATTCCCTAGTACTTGCTAATCGACTGTAATTAATTGAGGATCTCGAATGCATTCGCGGTAGGATCAATATGCGTTTTGTTTATAACATCAAGTGACGATGGTAAGCTACATACGCCTGTCCATAACAGTTGCAGTGCCACTCAGGGCTTTAAATCGCAAAGTTGACAAGTCCCATGTGCCTGTAATTTCAAAACTGGAACACAGTAATGCTGACATTACTGCTTGGCAGCAGACATAGGTAAGGTGGCAGTACTTCTCTGGACGAACACTTTCACAAGAAAGCAGTAGAGCTACTGCAATTAGAATGATATTAACTTTTCTAAATTGGTTCTGGTTGCTCTGCTAGTCATAGTTATAAGAAAGTCCCTAGTATGAGATCAGACAATTGGAGTGCTCGCACATTATTCCATCGAATTAAAAAACATGATTATTGCTAAAAGTATTTACGTATTAGGGGTCCGCAGTAGACCCTAGTCCAGGTTCCACTCACTAAAAGGAGGCGTGAACAGAAAACAAACAAAATCATGCGTCATACAACACATATACGGAACTATTAAATATATAGGCGTCTCTCCACCAGCATACATAACTTCCAACACTTTGAGCGAAATAAGATTTTGTGACTCCGTGAGTCGTAAATCGTCCTTGAGTATATAACCAGAAATAGAGACGAAACCATCAGGTGAGTGGACCTTATATCACTTTTAAATATCAACTCTCGTTTGCACTGAAATCACAAATTAGAAAGCTGAAATAGCACAGCGCCAACAACTGACCTGTGTGTACGACTCCGTATATTCCAAAAATATTCTGTATTTATTGTAATAAAGATAATATCTCTAACTATGGAAAGGTATTCCATTCGGTGGCGTGGGAAAAACAGCAAAACATACCCTTTGAACGGCAAATAAACACGTAATTTTTCAATTTTCGTCCATTATGGCAAAGCTCAAATTAAAGTGATCGATTTGAAGTGAAACAATAGACGACATCGAATTCGGGCTAGCCAATCGAAGTGCAGTTGTTACTGTAAAGGTTTGGCAGGATAGTTTTCAAACAAATTAAATGACATTTCGTCTCTATTTCTGGTTATATACTCGATGTAAGTCGTAGACGTCGGTATGGGGATCGCGAGCCTAAAATGGAGATGGGCAGGACACGTTGCTAGGCGGTACGACGACCGATGGACCAAGGCGGTCACTAAGTGGTACCCGGTAGGAACGAGACGTCCTCGAGGCCAACCACCGGCCGGAAGACTGTGGATGAGACTCGCACAGAACCCATTGAGCTGGCAAGTAAAAGAGGAGGCCTATACCCAGCAGTGGGTGTTAACGGGCTGAGATCGTGATGATGATAACTCTATGAGAGTCGAGCAATAATCAAAGCTACAAGCCGGTTGTTAAGTTTGACTTGTACCCCCAAAGTTGTCTGTTATAGTTCAAGAAATATTATTTGCACCGATGAATGTTATTTCTTGGAACGGTTTATCGTTTAAACTCATTATCAGTTCTTTTACTTAAAACGTACACGGACTTAATGATCTTGGTCCATCATACCTGTCATGGATGGGCGAAACGGTTTTTGTGAACTTTTAAATTATTTTTTAATCATTAGGTCGTTTTTTTTTTAAACTGACTGCCGTGTCTTTTCTTACTCATTGAACAAAATTCGCATAAAGATGATCAAGTTTAGAATTAAGTGCCAATGCGTAAATGTGTTTAAACTAGTTGTTTGCATTATACAGATGCCACGTGCATTAGCGAGATGGCTTACTTTTATGTCCTATTGTATTCGAAAGATGAGGCGAATCATGCACCAATTTTGCTGGATAACACCTGCGGGATTCGCGGGATTTGAAGATTGAAAAAAGAAGTTTTATTTGAAGAAAATTGCCCATTTTCTTCTAATTCTATTTTTTTGTGCAGTTCCGTAGACATCGGTCAATAAGTAATTTATTCTTCCTGGCCTCATGCCTGTAAAGGCAATCAAACAATTTTATCCTGGAACTCATGATTTTGTCTCTAGACTGAACATTAAGTCAGTATTCTTCATGGCGAGACAAGAAACAAGATGCAATTAAAAGAAGAAACTTAACTAAATTTATAATATTTTTTTTTTGGTTGATTGATGACCTCGATCCGAAGGCTTGCGGGATTGAGATTTTAATACGGGATGAAGTTCCCTAATTCCATCATCTTGTGGTTCGAAGCGCGGGAGGCGAAGAGTCGGGCCAGCGCCGGCAGAAGCCGAGCGCAGTTTGAGTGCGGGTTCAATTTTTTAACTGTTTGTTGACTCATAAACTGTTTGTGGTTTTGATAAATAAATTGACAGAACTTGTTACTACAAACGAATGCATGTTGGTGGAGAGGATTTCTTTAAAAAGCCAAAAGCCATTTAAAATGTAGAAAACCAAAAGAAGGTAATTGGGCAATATTGGCCACTTAATAAAAGTAGTTAGTAGTATAATCTCGACACTGAAATCAGTATTTGCCGCGCTTCCTGCGTTTGGATCAGTCTCCCTCCTTGTCATAAACAACGCAATTGCATCTTGGTAACTTTCGCTATATTAACACCTAAATTATTATTTTTTCTTTGAAAATTGTCAATTGCGCTTCTTTTGCTTAACAATAAAACTAATAAGATAGAAAAAAAAACCGCTCACAGGGTTGCAGACTCGTCTCGCTGATTCCAGTAGCTGGAGCATGGCAGTATATCACATGCAATGTGTGATAAACCTCTCCGTGACATACTTATTTCAGTTGAGAAAGCTGTGTTGCCATTATTATTTTTATTGCGAATACTGAATCGATTAGAGTTACTCGTTCTTTTGTTTATTTGGTAAACGATATGAAAGTGCGTACATAGCTATCTTTGTCGTTTAATCATCGCCGCAAAAACGACGAAACAAAAAATGCCGGGTTTTTATAGTATCAGTTTTTACACATTTTACATGAAATTATTAATTATTTATGTATTTCTAATTTCACTCATGTATTGAACTGTATTAAAAATGACTTTTGCACTACAATATTCTTTTGCAGCCATTGATCGATGCCCTTGCGATGCGACAAATATGTGCCATCACGGTGCTCGCCATGTTGTGATAAGATTTTAAAGTGGCGGTTTTATCATTCGAATTTGACAGTGAAATGTGAATGTAATAGTTTTATCGCGGCGGCATGCTACGCGGGCAGATATGTTATTAACACAATTTCGCTGTCGATTACGTTGTTTATGATAAGGATAGCGGAGATGTGTATAGATAGTATTAATTACTAAAGCCCAAGCTTCGGAGCTATTCGGGTATTACGGAAATTGAGGTTTGCTTCATTAACCTATTTCATTGCAAGGGCATATTAATTTTAACGCTCATCAATTTGCAATTGCAATTGGAGTGTACCTTAATCATTTAGATATACGGTCAATATTCAATTAAAGTAGCGCAGTAACATTGTTCATTTGAATTATAGAGGGTTTTCCTTGTAAATATAATATTTACATGTAGGTCTGACAACAATAATGTAAACGTGACTTATGTCATTACATTCTTGAATAACGTCGTCGATATTAATAGAATATTTATCCTGCTAAAACGTACAGTTAGGGCAATTTACAATCTAGGCCCCAGAACGTCTTTGAGAACGAAGTTTAAAGAAATAAACATTCTTACACTGTTATCACAGTATGATAATAAAAATCGAATGTAAAATTATTAATACAAAGATCCGGCTGGATTCGAAGCAATGTCTTCTAGCAAACCGTGACACTTTTAACAATAAAACTGTAAATTACATTTCGTTGTTCGTAAAGTTACATTTTTGCTGAAACAGTTACATTTTAAAAGTTCGTTTTTTTAATTAAAAATTCTAGCTGTATATACGCCTAAATCTTAAATATAAAAAGTAAGTATGCTCGAGAAAAATCCAACGATGTAAGAAATGTAGCCATCTGGCAACACTGATGTCCACGTGAACAGAATAAAAAATGAATGTTGATTGTATTAATACTGTCTAATTAATGGACTTAAGTCTCAAAAGGTTCCGTTTTCACGAGACTAAAAAAACATCTGTCTCGAATCTCATAAAAGCCGAAAATTCTCGAATTTTTGGAGACCGAAATTCCTGAGAAAATAGTCCTAATGATAAGAAACTTGTAAGAGACGAGGGTGTCCCATTCGAGCGTCAGTGTCTTGCCAACGTACACATAGCGTTGACACGACGTCCGCGCGACGGCGACACAACGCCAGCGCCGTCAGAAACAATCACTGTGTAATACGTAAGTAACCGACCAAATTAAAAGATGTACGACGCGAATTAAGCTTAATATTGTGACGGTGTGACCTCCTTAGACCGTCATCTTACCTTTTTGTATCGCCTCTCGCCGCTTGTATGTTACCATTTTTTATTTTACTTGTATTTAAATTTTAAATTTGAATTGTTCCATCTTCCTTCGCTTTCTCATTTTGTTTTCGTACCACGGTCACTACCTGCTCGACCGCCACAGCAGTCGGAGCTGTTTCAAATTCCATTGCGTATAATCGCTAATTTTGGTTCTTTACTACGTTTATAATCGTCATTATATAAGCTAAATCATGTGTAACAATTTACAACAGTCTACAGCCTTCATGTACATAGGTACATGAAGGCTGTAACTGAATTACAGATATAGGATCTGTAATTCAGTTACTCGGCCCATTTAGGGGTAAGTGCCTTAATCATAAAGTGTAGGGAGTGTTTTGTATTATGTACCTGTTTTTTTACATTTACCTTTTTATTGTTACAGCCCTTTCTTTTAACTTTACTTCTTTTAATAAATTTTTATGGACCGGAAGTTTCCCGTTTCATTGCCGTGAACCTGTTCACGGCTAGTTAGGGTTACAACCCTTTCAACTTGACATTGTGTTTTGATTTCATCGAGTATTACTTATTTGACAGTTTGAGCGCGTATAGCACTAAGAGTAGAACTGCGTCCTGATTTTGAGTCAAATCCGAATAGAACGGATCGGGTAGTCTCGAAATCAGATGAGTTTCTGAGCGAGAAGATGAACCTGGCAATCAAAATCCAGCTGCTGTTTTCCTTGCAGCGCGCGTTCTGATGCGGCGGTAAATCGGTGACTATCATAACTTTTTGTTAATACTCGTATTAATTGCGTTATACCTTCATTATATTTTCTTTTTTTTTTTCGTACATTGTTTACATTTAATAAAATTGTTATTTTATATATTATGTTATAGGAGTTGCAACACTCATACAAATCTGTTTTCTGTGTTCCCGGGCCGGGAGAAATATTTGTGTGGACTATTGTGGTTGTCTAAGTGTGTGTGACACAGGGTTTCCCTTGTGCGGGTGTATGTGGAGTGTGTGTCACCGCCGCGCGAATGTTTGTGTCGTTGTGCGTGCGTTGACAAGACGCTGATGCTCGAAAGACGCTAGTATTTGGGGTCTCTAGCTAATAACAAAACGTTTGTCTCGTAAAAACCACGAATGACACCGAAGCTTGAATTTCAGACAACAGCACCGGGATTTCCGTTATCAACAGCCATGTAACACAGCCCTATAGGAAATTATCGTACAATAAACATGCGAAACTTAAATCAAAGATGCCTCACCACAGGTGTCTTGGTCTTCCGAGAAGAGGTTGTTGTGAGGGCATAGAGTGCGGGATATGTTGCTAAACTGCTCCAGGGAGACTGGCGTTTGTACCAACATTGGTAATTGCCATGAGAATACACCTGAAATTACGTAATAATTTGCAATATTTCTTATTTATATATTCATAACAAAAAGCGTTTTTTATAAAAAAAACCGACATCCAAAGTTATCTCATCTATAAACTGCCTTTAACTGCCTTCGACTGCGACGCAGAGGTCCCAGGTTCGATTCCCGGGCCGGGAGAAAAATTTGTATGGCCTACATTTATTTCTATCGTGAGTTTGGGTGTAATTTGTGGTTGTCTATGTGTGTGTCCATGGCACCCGCGACACAGGGTTTCCCTAGTGCGGGGCTATGTTAAGTGTGTGCGTTATTTATTTATTATTTATTTATTTAGTTATCACGTAACACACACACACAAAAAAACAGTCGAATTGCGACTCTACCCTTATATTTGTATTGAATTGATATTCAATTATTTTTTTGTGAAATTACTCCGCTAAGTTGTTATAATTATTAATACAAAGATGGCGGCCGGATTCGAACCGTTAATTCGAATGGTAAGCTACACGCCTGTCCATAACAGTTAACAGTTACAGTGCCACTCAGAGCTTTAAACTTGCAACGATTTGAGGGGCACTGCCACTGCGCTCGTCGCCTTGAGACATAAGTTAACTTGTATTTAAGTAACTTAACTAGTACTTCCCTGGACGAACTCTTTCACAAGGAGCTCTAAAGCTACTATCCTAAAGTTTGATTTAATTTTGTTCTACAAATCTTCACTGGCGTTGTACTCGCTAACCAGTCAGTGTCATGTCATTGACAAATTATCTGAGTCGATGACATAGTGGGGATTTCTAGTAGGAATTGTAGAACATACCGGGCATTAATTTATTTAAAGTATTAACGTTTTCTTAGTATGGACATACCCATATTTTTTACTGTTTTTTTTTCTAAATCTTCCAAACTATAGGTTGCCTCATGTATATTTTTAAAATATTTAAATACGTAAGTGCTTATGGAAACACAGCTATAATATTATTTTTTGAGACAATAATTTATAGCAAATACTTAATAGGAAATAATAATTAGTTGCCAACAACGTGCTCAAATTTCAATAATACGCATATGCAAATATAATCAGTTCCGAAAAGTCCCGAGTTTGCAGAAAGGAATGTCCACATTATTTTTTAGTTTATCTAAATTAACTCCCTCAATTCCGAAATGAAACATTGTTACTGTTTAAGTTAAAGAAATTAATAAATAAATAAAAAGATAGGTGCACCTTTCTGCTGCCTCGCTGTGACGAACAATGGGTAGGTGCGATTGGCGAAATTGCTAGCTACCGTCACGCGGGCTGGCGTGTCGTACGCATCCATGCCGTCCTGGAAAAATACACAATATCAAAAATCGCATTTTTGTAAAAATTAAACACTCAGCCCCGCACTAGGGAAACCTTGTATCGCGGGTGTCATGGACGCCTTATCGTTACTAACGTATTTGAATTTCGGTAACTTTCCAGATATTGGCACCTATAGTTAGCTGCCTCCGTGGCCGAACGGTTACCATGCCGGACTGCCACGCAGAGGTTCCAGGTTCGATTCCCGGAGAAATATTTGTATGACCTACATTTATTTCTCTCGTGAGTTTGGGTGTAATTTGTAGTTGTCTATGTGTGTGTCCATGGCACCCGCGACACAGGGTTTTCCCTAGTGCGGTTCAATGTTGAGTGTGGGCGTTATTATTATTATTATGGTTAGCGATGGGCGAGTCGAGTTATGTAACTCGATTAACTCGAGTTTTCAAACAAATTAAATAACATTTCGTCTCTATTTCTGGTAATCGATGGTTTACTGTCATCTAAAAAAATGTAATTTACTAGCTTAACAATAAAACTGAAACTAAATAAGGTATAAAAAAACCGATTAGAGTGGATTGTACATCTTGTTTCGCAAATCATAGATATGTCGAAAACTCAATTTCACTAAAAATATGGATTATGATAACTGAAGTACAGACAACAGCACATCGAGCTACACATTGACGAATCTTGTTCCGTTGCACTGAAGGCGATATTCGAACAAATAGTTTGATGTGCCTTTGATTGTACATTCCCTCCGTGCCTCACAGCCGTGGCACATGTATATTAATTGTTACTTACCCCTCCAAATTCCATAATATATTCAATGTTTTTATTTACTTTCACTGTATATGGTTCATTGTATTTATATCTGAAAGTATAAAACATTTATCATTATTGAGTGCAATAAAAATAAATAAAAAATGATTCATTAAAGTCGTAGCTCTGATACCATTGGCTTGAAATTATTATTGTCTTGTTTACTTCTAAAGGATAATGAGTTAAGGTCCATTCAAACCAACGCAACTGGACCCCGATTCAGAACTCTTCGATATTTTAATCGAATCGTTCGATTGAATATCGTTCTCGAATCTAAGAGCGCTTTCCGAGCTTCTCAGAACATTGGACTTAAACGTTCGATGCGGATTCGTATACGATATCGTTATCCAACAGCGTTTACGAAGTTAGTCGGTGAAATAAATGAAAATCGTTTTATATACATTTTTAAGACTTTTAAGGTCTAAAATATAGGAATGCATTAGTCTTGCATTAAAATAAATTATTGAACTAAAAAGTCGTTGAAAGACCAAGTACAAAGACACGACGCAAGCACATAGAAAAATTCGTGAGGTCCGTTGGTTCGTTCCGTGGCTTAGTTGGTATAGCGTCTGGCACGGTATGCAAGAAGACGTCGGTTCGAATCCGACCGGATCGAAGGAATTTTTTCTGAGTGTTTTTTCTGAGTGTTCGATCTTTGTATTAATAATTATAACAAACTAGTGGAGTAATTTCATAAAAAATAATTGAATATCAATTCAATAAAAATTAAATTAAATTAATTGAACTTAAAAAAATTGAACAAAGTCCAGACTTTATTTGAAAAAATAAGAGATTTCCATATTACATTCTTACTTTGTAAATAATAAGGCGTTCGGTAACTTCCATTCGATAAGTGTTTTGAATAACGTTTGTAGCCTTAAGTTCGAATAATCGTACGGGTGTGACGTCATTTCGATTCGCTTTGGAATACGATACTTTGACATTCGATTCGGGGGTTCTGAATAAAAATTAAAAGAAATCGTACGATATCAAATCGCATCGGTCGACAACTGAGTTATCGTCAGGTTCTGAATCGACCCCCTGGTCTATTTGTACATCTCCCTGACACCAATAAATAATGGAAAATAAATTATATACATCACAACATTGAACATAAAATTGTGAATCAAATTATGTACATTACTAGCGGTAGAGCTCATCGTGCAAGAGACCATTACTGCATTCCGGTTTTGAAGGGTAAGGGTTCTGGTGAAACTACAGGTAGATGGGACTTATCAACTTTATGTTTAATAATAATAATAATAATTCGTTTCTTATATATTTTTATCATCCAAAAGAAATGTCTACGCATCATAAACAATATACGCCCGAGAGATACATGCAGGCCACATTTTATAAAAGAAAAAATTTTAACTCTCCCGTCTATATACATTTTGGAAACTGCCATGTTTGTAAGACAACATTTGGATCTTTTTGAATTCGTAGAAAGCACACGTCGAAACGCAAAGCTCGTATTACCAACTCCAAGATTGGAAATGTTTAGAGATAGCCCGCTATATAGATGCATACTAATTTATAACAAAATACCAGACATCCTCAAGAAAGTAGATAGTGACAACGTGTTTAAAACCAAGTTGAGGTCTCTCTTGTTAAGTAAATGTTATTACAATGTGGGAGACTTCATGAACTCTCCTATAAGCTAAAAGAGTCCAGCTTCAGATAAGTACTTGGTACTTGGTGCAACGGGCTGGTGTCCGCAACTCGACGTCAAGGCGCCTATTTTGCCTATTTCAGATAAGTAATTTTAAGTCTATGTAATACTATGATCTAAAGTTTATTAATGATAATTTCAAGATCCTATATGTATTAGTTCCTAAATGTTATTATAATTATTTTTTGCTATTATTTTTATTTTTACAATTTTAATATATGGGGTATGTATGTACTTATTACCTATGTAATTTTTGTACCTACATTGTTTGCAAATAAATAAATAGATTTGCTTAAAACATGGTATAACAGAAGATGTTACAAGTGGCAGTGCCAGTACAAACATGTTTCGCATATATTAAATAGCATGCACATGTCTAGTTATATAATGTCAATCAGACTACAAAACTGTCACAAACATGTCAAGTTACAAATTAATTTGGTCAAGAATGATAATCTTCAAGATAAAATCTTACATCTCATTTCCTGTCAAATATTTCGTTTAGGTCATAAAAATTATTTTTATTTAACCACTTGTACAGCTTTGTTTTAAATAAACTTAAGTATAATAGTTTAATCTCAAGTGGTATTTTATTATATATGTCAACACAATATATGTATGTCACACATTTTCAAACAACTTTTACTGTATTTAGCAGTCATAGGAATAAAGTAAAGTACACGTCTATTCGGGTTTCTGCTGAGTCTAGTATTCACATCACAGGCTTTCTTAAACAAATATTTGTGTTTTCGTACAAAGATACAAATTTTGTATATACATAATGATGGTAGTACGGTTTTATAATTGAATATTTCAATGCTTCAAGGAAAGTTCACGAAGTAAATGATAAATTAAATAAACACGACAATTATTTCATTAATACTGGCTTGTACTATTTTCGTGCCAATTTCATCATAACCTTTAGAGTTAGTGTTCTTTAATGACGTCACTTCCCGCTTTACTTCATCTTCTGTTATAGGTGATAAAAACATTGAGTTACCGAGCATTTTAGTAATAAGATTATTATCTGATTGAGTCAAGCCATTTCTTTCTTCAGTAAAAAAGTCATTGAAAGCATTAGCGATGTCAACTGGGTTAGTAATATTAGTATTGTTAATTGTAATGTCGTTGATATTAGCGTCATATCTCATATTACTAATTTCGGGCTTAATAAGCGACAATGTCGCTTTACAATTATGGGTACTGTTATTTATAAACTTTGTGTAGCGTTTTTCTTTGATCTGTAAATACTTCTTCCTAAAATTTTGGAATAGTTTAGATATTTATATTTATTGTTTTCCGTATTGTTAGCACAATACTGGCAACGTAATTTACGTTTAGTTTTAGCACTTTTCCGTAATCCATGACTTATCCATTTCTGTCTCTTATCGTTGATATGTATTTTGATTCGAATCTTCGGAAAAGTAAAATTCATGAAATTCATTAAACGCTACATTAAGATCTGGCTCTATAAATACTGTAGACCATGAAAGTGCATTCAAATATTCTCCGAATTTTCTAATATTTTGCAAAGAAAAATCTCTTTTGTAGGTAAAGAAGAATTTTAATTTTGGAGGCATGTGCTGTACAGGAAAACTTAGTAATTGTGCCGTGTCGTGATCGGAAAGATACAGGGGCAACACAGTAGCATTTGAATCATTTATATTACTTAAAATATGTTTCAGAGTGACAGGCGGCAAAGCTCAGCTGCAACAATTATCGGTAAGGGCAATTATATCGTGGCGACAGAAAGACGTGCAGTAAGTGTCGTGGTTTGTATTATTTAAATGAAGTTGTTCACACATAGAAAAACACGATTAACTGTAGTTCATGACTTTTTTGACGTTACGACGATAAATAAAAAGTCACGATAAAACTGTGATGACAGATAATCGCAGCATAATCGCAAATGACAAGGCGACTGTCGTCACGGTCTAGTGAGAACAGGTAGACACGACAGTCGTTCAACGATAAAATAAACGTCCACGACACAGTCACGACAGATGGTCGTGATATGGGAACAGGCTAGACGCGCCAGTCGTCCAACGATAAATAAAACGTTACGACATAATGGGAACGCGCCCTAAGGGTGTGGCTAACCACCAGGCAAACAACTTATCCATCCCGTTATGTGACGTTGTAAAAAAAAACTTTTTTACGTCAATGTTATTATGATAAAAGTAAGCTATTATCACTTAAATACAATGAAAATGCCATAGGAATATGGCATTTTCATATTTGATTTTGACATTTTCCTTTTTTTCCGGATAAAACAGATAATTATAGTTTTCTTAATTTCGACTCTTCTCTAGTTTGACACCAAGTTATAAGTGTGGTCATCTGAAACATTATTATTAATAATAATAACTTTACTCACACACACAATGGCTTTGGTAAACAATATATTATAAGCAACAAACATTGAGAAATCTTTGTGAGGCTTGTTTTCTGTGTATGACAGATTCTACACTTGGATTTAAAATAATTCTAACTATTTTATTAACAATACCGACCTCAAAAGTTTGCGGCCATAAACGCGCGTCGTCGCATTTTGATAAGAGATAGTTTTAATTTTAGTTCGTTTTTAAAGCTAAAGCTACATGACATTGTCGACATGTTTCCCACTCAAGACCACAGAGATTAGGGAGAGGCTGAAAAACTACGCTGCGCGGTGTCATCACCGTGTCAGCATAAGCTGAGCCTCTGTCTTTTGTCTCAAATTTACTTTTTTAGTATTTGTTTAAATTAGATTTTTAGAAAACACTGAACGAGACAATAAATTTTATTATACTTTCTTAGATTTCTCATATAATAAAGTCGTTGAAAACCAAATATAAAGATCCGACAACAAGCACATAGAACAATTCGCGAGGTCCGCTGGTCCGTTCCGTGTCTTAGTTGGCATAGCATCTGGTACAGTTTGTTAGGAGACGTCAATTCGAATCCGTCCGGATCGAAGGAATTTTTTATAAGTGTTCGATCTTTGCATTAATAACTATAACAAACTGTGAGTTAAATATTATTAATATTTGTCATACTTTATCTTACAATTTCAGAATTAAATCATATATCAGTTTCTTTATCAAAATTATCAGTTATTATCGGTTTACATACTCCATAACTGGAAATTGTATTAGCAGAGATTATTTAGCCAGTTAGGTACCGTGGGCAAATCTTTGTTTCAGAAAGCACATGGTATCTGCGACAGTAATCATCTGGCAGCGGAACTTCAGCATATAAAGCAAATCCTACATGCGAATAAGTTGAAGATTTCATGCCAATGCCGCAAGCCCCGTGTGAAACCACCAACAGTCGAGCGAAGACCTGCCATCTTACCTTACGTGAGAGGTGTTACAGACAAGATCGGAAGAGTCCTCAGGCGTGCATCTATCAAGACCTATTTCAAGCCCCTGAGGAAGATTTCTCAGTTCCTGAGACTCGTGAAATGTAACATTCCCTTACAGGGTGCAGGAGTTTACAAGCTTGACTGTGACTGCGGTCTCTCTTATATTGGACAAACAAAGCGAAGTATTTGTACCCGCGTCAAAGAACATATAGCTGATGTCAAACACCGTCGCGTAAACAAGTCTGCAGTCTGCAAGCATGTCATGGATAAACCTACACATTCAATGAAGTTTGACAAACCCCAGGACCTTGCAAAAGAAGTCCGTTATCTACCCAGGATGCTGCGAGAGGCCATTGAAACTAAAAAACATCCTAATTTCAACAGGGAAGATGGTTTCTCCGTACCACCAGTTTGGGATCCAGTATTTCCTCTTATGAAAAATCCCAAACAGACATAAGACTGCAGTACTAATTAATATGTTTTAGTTTATTCTAATTTCTATTAATAATTAATAATAAATTGAACTTAATAAAAATTCATTCAATAAAATAATTTGTAAAACTTAATGTGGCGTAAATTGGAATGTTTTCTTTGTAAAATTAAAAATAAGGTATTTCATTAATAACTATTGTAACTATAGTGAAAAAACAAGGTGGTTTGCATCAATATTAGACATAACTGGTTGAAGGCTGTACCACCTCAGTCAACCGTGACCATGGGACCTGTAAAGGGCCCGAATCGTCGGTTTGTTTGAAAAAACAAATATACACGATTTAAATCCGGAAAAATAGTTTCATTTCCTAAGAGATTATTTACCTAAACCATTTATTTACCAATATGATAGTACAAAACAGAACACATAACAATATCGTCGGAACAACAACTGTGCGTGGAAGGAACAAGCTCAGTTTAAGCCTGACGGCTGTATGCCACACAGTCCTGATTTTCAGCCTGGCTTTGTCGACGTATTTTGTTTTTCTAACACAACCAATTCACTAATACCAAAGTTTAAGACATCTTCACTTCTGATGTAAACTACAAGACATTTATTTGCATACATTTTTTTAAATTGACCTATACTATACTGACATTCAATTATGTTGACAATTATATTCATAAATTACTTAAACTCATCATCATCGCATCATCATCATCATCAGCGCATCCTGAAGACGCATAGGTCTCCCCCAGCTCTATCCATCTGGCTCTGTCACTTGTTAGCCTAGTCCATAGAGGTCCAGCTATTTTTTAAAGTCGTCAGACCGTCTTTTAAAGGGACCTCTTTTCCTCTTGGCGTTTTCTCTTGGTAGCCATTCTGCTACCTTCCTGGTCCACTTTTCTATTTTTTCCCTGTACATGTGTCCAGTTCACTTCCACTTTAGCGTTTTGATTTTTGTAGTGACATCCTCCAATTTGCATAAATTAATACATAATAAATTCATTTCTCCTAATCTTTTAACCCACATTAACTTTAATATTAGGCCAAATCCCTGTTACATTTGTACTGTATGTATACAAAAGCAATACTCATGTGCCGAATGTATAATGAATTATTAATATCGGAATCTGGAGCTCTCATTGATGTTTTTGACAACAACATCTACAGATTTCGTAGCAGTATTCAAAACCGTTTCGCCTCGTCTTCCCATTAGTCATCTTTTGTATTTTTATTTTCACTAGTTTTTAAGTATATTTACTTTTGTATATTTAGGAAATGGAACATTTTAACCCGATTTAAATCGCGTATATGTATTTTTTTAAACAAAACAAAATTTCGGGCCCTTTACAGGTCCCATGGTCACGGTTCACTTTTGTATATTATTTATTTTTATGAAGAAACTGTATGCTTACTTTTTAATTTTTACGAGCTGAATAATCATGCTGTATGTACATATGTTAGGTTTACATCCTAGATTAAAACCATAAATTGTAACATTTATTGGAATACCATTAAATGTAAACTGTTTTGTGCATCAAATAAATAAATAAATAAACACCAACTAAATAAACAGTTCAACTTTTAATACTGATAGAATGTATATAATACTTCCCTATGAAATTGTAGAAATATTGTATTATATACTTTATTTTATATTTTGCCGTGTAACTAACATTTTTTTTCATTTTTTATTTATGATATCAAGTGAGAGGACCAACAAGTTGTGCACCTGCAGCTTGATTTTGATTGCCACACAGAGATATGAATCAAAACCACGACCCTGGTAGTAAGTGATACGCAACCCATAATAGTCACAGTGACATTCTGAGCTTTAAATTGCAAAGTTCTGAGAGTCACTGTCTCAAGGTGACAGGTGCAGTGGCAGTGTCACTCAGATCTTTGCGATTTAAAGCTCTTAGTGGCATTGAAACTGCTATGGACAGGTGCATCACTTAACTCAGGCGCACGACTTGTTTGTCCCGTCATTAGGTTTCACAAAAACAAATTTGTTGACAAGTCTAATTTGAGACATAAGTTTAAAGAGATTAACATTCTTACACTAGCATCACTGTAACAGAACGAACAAGTCGTGTGCCTGATGGTAAGTCAAAGTCAAGTAAAAGTCAAAGATTATTTATTCCATAGGTAAAGTAAATTTACACTTGAAATCGTCACATTTAAGCTACTGCTCGTTCACTATGCTGACCTCCCTGAGAAGAACGAGCAAGAAACTCTAGGGATTGCTCTTTTCAAATAAACTTAAATGCTACGGAATACACTTTGAATCAAATTTGTGTGGATTCTGGAGCCATGTCGTCTTTCCATACATCTTTATCTAACACATAGTCTTCAATTTTGTAATATGATTTTTCAATCAAAATATTTTTAATGTAGTTTTTAAACTTAGGAAATGATAAACTTAATATATGCTCCGGAACCTTATTGTAAAAACATATACAGTTCCCCATAAAAGAGTTGTTTACCTTGGTTAAACGAAATCGTGGTACCCATGAGTTTGGACTTAGCTCTAAGGTTAATATTATGGTAAGCTCCATGCCTGTGCATAACAGTTACAGTGCCACTCAAAGCTTTAAATCGCAAAGATCTGAGGGGCACTGCCACTGCACCTGTTGCCCTGAGACATAAGTTGACAAGTACCATGTGCCTGTTATTTCACCAGCACCTTTACCCTTCAAAACCGGAACACAGTATGCTGACAATACCGCTTGGCGGCAGAAATACGTAAGGTCCCTGGACAAACTCTATCACAAGCAGCTTCATTGCTACTAAACTGTTACAAAGAATAGTAATTGTTTATGAAAAATAGTCACAGACATAACATTAATACGAGGAAAAAATATAAACCTCTTTTTTTCTATGCTAGTGATATTTCTTTACTTAACTACCCCACCAATTTGAAGACGACGTATCCTCACAGTGGGGTCACGATTCATTAATAAAAATTACGTGACATCATATTGAGAGCATTAGAATTAAGTTAGACCCCTACCCTTCAATAACAACCCAATGTGTATGATAAAGGCAAAATCGCAAATTACAACCGCAAAATTCGGGCAAAATAATTGAATTGGAACAACATATTTTAAAAAACGGATACAAGAAAATAATTTTTTACTCACGTATTATTGTAATGAAAAACAATTTCATCCCTTTTTAATAAACTTCCCGAAGTTAAACACACAGACATTAACAAAGGCAAATGTAATAATATAATATTAGCCATTTTAATCAATTATTCGCACAAGTTCACTTTTAATATTGTGCTAAATAATTTGTCGAAACTATTCACGGCCACTTCACAATTTATTCAAGTTTATTTCATTATTTTTATTGGTTTTTTGTATAACCAATCTCAAATTGCTAACCAAAACCAAAACAATCACGTTATGACAATTAGAAGTGTCAATTTCAGCCTGGTATAGAAGAATAATTCTTTCGAATTGTCAATCGAGTATTACCGCATTGGAATTATTCGACTGTGAAAAAATTGTATTCGAAAATATTCATTACTATCATCAAAATGAAATGTAATGATTTAAGCATAAATCTCATTACTTTACACAATTCTTATAATAAAAATAAAATGCAAATTAATAAATTAAATTTCATTGGGATTTTATATAACAAATCACGTTGCCAATACCCACACAATCCCCAATCAAGTAAAAATTCCCCGCAATTGGGGTAATTCCACACAATTTGGCAGCACTGATAACGAATGTGTAACAACGCGTTTACACTATAGTGCTGGCTATACATGAATGTTTCGACGAAACAATCGACGTAACATTCGTGTCGAGTGGTTGAAACGCGTTCTCACATTCCTGCGAGTGGCGATGCGATACACGCATGTGTAAACGGTCAGTTTGCTATTCGCGTCGCGCCTCGCATCGCCACTCGTGCGATCACGTCGTGAGCGATATTTCGAGCACGAGTCAAAAGATACGAGTTTTTTTTAAGTTGTAAATTCTTTTATGAGAAAAGTATACACTCTACAATCCATGGTAAATATAAACTCTCGATATTTCATGGCATGTATCCATATCATTTTCGTAAATATTTATACAATGCATTTTCATTAAAATGTATACAAAAAAAGGTTATTGTAAATTCTCGGACAACACTCAAATGGGGTAATCATTGATCATGCACTCTGTAGACGCTAACTAATCAATGTATAGCAACCAAAAAATTCTGTCCCATAAACTTTAAACAAAAATAATACAAACTTGGCATTTTAGCTCCTTACTCATGCACTTATTTCACATCCAATTATCACACTTGCATAAAAAAAAATAGTGAACTTAAGTGGAATATTGACAACAACACATGTGTCAAAAGTTAAAAGTGGCGCTGTCATTTATATGTCCACAATTTAATTGATGATTATTATCAATTCCAACGATACTAAAAAATTTCAAATGTGACAAACGAACAAAAAATAGATAAAGGCAGTTAAAAGTCCAAAGTGTTAATAGTTTGATGTCCTCTTTAAATGCATTTAATTCCGGCAGACCTGGAAACTTTATATGTATTAAAATACCTTTCGAATAAATATTCGAATATTAAATAAATTGTACTTCATCACATCACTATTTTTTTTTTTGTTTCAATAAATAATATTGCTCTATTTTCTCAAAAAGAGATAGAAAACAATTTCTAACACCGCGTTTACACTATCGTCGATTGTTTCGACGAATGTTTCGTAGAAACAATCAACGAATCAGTCGTGTCGAGACATTGACCAATTGACTTACAATTGTGGTGGTAGTAACCCGTTTAGCTCATGGAGGTAGTCTCGATCTCTGATGTTTCAAATAAAAAAAAATAGTTTAAAAAAAAAAATAAGTTAGAAAAGTTTCTTGCTCATTCTTCTCAGGGGAATCTGCCTTACGAATGAGCGGTAGAGTTTAACCATTGTGACGATTTGAAGTGTAATAATGCTTACCTATGAAATAAAGATTATTTTGAATTTGAATTTGAATTTGAATTATATGGACGTCGGGTCCGCGCTAAAAAGTGTCCGAACTTATAGGGCGTTATATATATTATATATTATCACGCTTCCACACGCAAAATAGGCGCTTTGTCGTCGAGTTGCGGATACCAGCCCGTTGCACCAAGTACCAAGTACCAAGTAAGTCATTCACGCTTTAGTCTTCGTTTGTTCGACTGACAGCGAAGCAAGCAAAATTAGACAGTAATGACATTACTATTTAAATTCAACGGTTTAGCTTTTTCATATTCCTTTACATGTCACTACGTTAAAATAGGTTGACTTGGGACATTTTTTTCGTGGTTTGTGTATTAGACCCGTCGTCCATTTATTTGTAAGTCAATGTGTCGAGAGGTTGAAACGCGTTCACACATTCGAGCGATAGGCGATGCGGTGCACGACACACATGTATAAACGGTCACTTCGCTTTTCGCGTCGTGCATCGCATCGCCACTCGTGCGATTGCGTCGTGAGCGGTATTTCGAGCACGAACCAAAAGACACGAGTTTTTTTAAAGGTGTGCTTTTGTTTGATAGATAAGTATACAAACTACAATCAGTGGTAAATATAAACTCTTGGTGTTTCATGGTTTATATCCATATTATTTTCGTAAATATTTATACAATGCATTTTCATTAAAATGTATACAACAAAAGGTTATTGTAAATTCTCGGACAACATTCAAACGGGGTAATTATCACGGCATTGTATATTAAACTGGACCGCGCACTAAATTAATAAAACGAGCCGAGTGAGAGGCTTCAACGTACTATTGCGTCTCTTTCATTCATGTTTCAGCCAGCCACATTGTTTTTAACTTTTTAATTTGTTACAGAAAATGTGGCCGCTTATGGATGACCAAAACTACTAATATTATTTCATAATTCAAATTAGTATAGGTACTTATTTGACATGCTACTTCATATTAGAAGGTTTCATTGTTGATATATATTTTTTGTATTATTACAGTAAAAGCATATTACCTTTAAGCTAATTTTATTTAACCAAAATTAAAAAAAGTTAATACACTAGACCGTAATAATTGTATTGAAGCAATGTAAGCACTACGGCATATAGAAAAGTGGTGACGTTTTTGAGCGCAGTATAATTTCAGTACTATGCACGAACGGGTTAAGAAAATGGTCAGAAAAGAAAGGAAACCAGAGCTGATGCAAGCTTGATAAAAGACCATAATATTAAAGTTTTGGTATGTAATTACATCAATGAGTGAACAAAAACACTGCATAATAATACAAATAGTAACAACCTTGATAGCCTAACGGTTTGCACAGTGGGCACTGGATGAGAAGTTCCCGGGTTCGATACCGGTAGGATCAATTTAACAAATTAACTTTTCTAAATGGTTCTGGTCTTGGCATTCTATTGTAAGACAATCACCTGGTTTGAAACTAGGGAACTCTCTGTACATACTCCCCATGAGTATCAGAGCAACAGAATCCCAGAACAGAACCAATTTACAAAAGTTCATTTTCCAAATTGGTTCTACTGGGAATCGAACCTGAGACGAAGAACGATGGAATTTATTCCGGGGCATAACTCAGAACACACAGGCCAAAACAACTTTCGAAAAGTTCACATTTAGTTTTATAGTTGATTGAGCTGATTTTTTTCGGTTATAAAAAAAAATCTCGAATAACTCGAGAAATCGGGTACGAGAATTCTCGAAACTCAAGAAAAAAAAGTCAGACACCCTAGCTCGTAATAAATGGCATTGTATAAAATTCAACATTTTCGTATAAAATTTAGTTATAAATAATAAAGGCTACTCCATTATAACTGTGTTCAAGTAGTTTTCACTAGAAGCTACACATATGGTGCATTTTGCGCCTTTCAATTGTTGCAAGCAAAATTAGGCAGTACTGCAATGACATTACAATTTAAATTCAACGTTTTAGCTTTTTCATATTCCTTTACATGTCACTACGTTTAAATAGGTTGACTTGGGACATTTTGTTCGTGGTTTTTGTATTAGACCCGTCGTCCATTTATTTGTAACTCAATGACTAAAATCTAATAAATTCCGTAGTTTTAAAAGTGTTTACATAATAATGATAAAATCACAAACATTATTTTAAAAAAAAGAAAATGCTTTGTAATAATTTTTACGAAAATGATATTGATAAATATTGTAAACTACCGAGTGTATATTTATCACTGGTTGCTTACTTTTTTCTGAAGTAAAAATAAACTAAAAAAAATCCATGACAGTCATGATTACTTACTACATATTTTTGAACACAACACAAAGTAGGTACTTGTTTTTGGAATATCTAATATTAGATATAGGTATCTAATATTATTATATACATATATTACATATATTCGAAAATTAACAAACGTTTACATTTCATGCACGTATATGTATACAATTATATAAAAATACTTACATTATCTTCAGGGTCTATTGTGCGTTCGCAGCCATACACTGATCCCAAGAAATTTTCAATCAAGCACTCCTAGAGACCCTAGAGACCCCCATATGCCAATATTCAAAGGGATCTGAGCAATTTTTTTTTCTGCCGCCAACGAACGCTTCTATGACGGCCATATTTGAAAATGACGAAAAACAAATCTTGAGCACAAATTACTATCCGGTACTTCTAGAGGCCTCTTAATATGCCAATTTTCAGTCGAATCAGAGCAAATCTCTTTCGGCAGCTATTTTTAACACTCACATGGCAGCCATATTAAAAAATGGCGAAAAGAAATTTTTGACCCCAAATAATGATTAAGGACTCCTAAAGACCCTAGCATGCTAATTTTCAGCCGGATCGACGCAAGTTGATCTTCGGCCGCCATTTTGAAATCGCCATCTGAATTTTTTTAACCCAGGCAGTTAACCAGTGTTACCCTCTATGACATTCCTTCGAGCACCTCCTACTTATCTCTAATAGTGTCGAAAACGTTTTGAAATTTGTATGGCGGCCATCTTGCTTATTTGAATTTCGAACATTTTTTACTTCCCCCGGAAATTGACCAGGGTGTACCTCATAAAAGTGCACAAATATCCCGTCCATATATTATAGTTTTTGCAGGCCGTTGATGACTCTTTCATATTTTCCACACTCAGGTCATATCATATTTGATTCTTTACTTTGGAACCTATCCGCGTACAACGGTATAAATATCTTTCTTCTGCCATATCGGGAAGTGTGCGTTCTATTTCTATCCGTGAGTAAGAACTTGTAGCTTTATATATATAACTAGATGCCGCGCGATGCGCCGGGCCGCTAAAGCGGCCCGCGAGGGCTTTCTTTGTATCTGGT